GGTGAGTGTGAGATGAGTTTGACAGGCCTCTGCTGGGCAAAGGGCACACCTCACATTCCCTCCTGAATCCCCTGCTCTGCTTTCCAGGGGATGGCTGGATCCACAAGGCTGTGGTGGTGAACTCTGGCATCCACATTGTGGAGGAGGTGCAGGTGTTCAGGGACCTGCAGCCTGTGGAGAGCCTGGTGATCTCCCACAATCAGGTGAGGGGTGGAACAAGTAGGGGGTCACCACACATGAAGCATGCTTGTGCTGTGAAGCTGACATTGCGCTGTTTGGGAGGCTGGGGAAATGACTCCTGGGTCACCCCAGCTCAGGATATGTGCTGGAGCCCAGGAGGGTAGCCTGGGGAAATGGACCAGCCTGGCCATCAGCACTGACTGGGAGCTGGGGGCCGTTCTTGTGCACACCCATGAAGGGAGAGCTGTGCTGTGGAGCTGGGGGGGATCTCTGGGCACCATGGGGCACTCCACAGACCAGCAGCATCATGCTAGATCCATACTAAGCCAGCCCTTTTCCCCTCAGAGGAGCTTGTATGTGGGAGCAGCCAGCGGGATTGTGCAGGTGCCTCTGGCCTCCTGTGCCAGGTATGCCTCCTGCTATGACTGCATCCTTGCCCGGGACCCCTACTGTGCCTGGGATGGCAGGGCATGCCGCATCGTCGCCACCACAGACAGGTAGGGATGGGTTGCCTGATCCCAGATGGGTCTCCATGAACATTCCACTTGACCTGTCCCACACGCTTTCACATCACCTCGTGGCACAGTCACCCCAGAGCCAGCCCCAAAGGTCTGGCATCTGACACTGGGTCTCCTGGTGGCCGTGACCTCCGTAAGGGTGGCTCAGCTGAGGCTGTATGGCTGAGCCCCCCCATGCCTTGCAGCTCAGGGCTGGTGCAGGACATTCAAAGTGGCAACAAGGGATGCCGGAGCAGCTCTGGACGGGGTGAGTCTCTGCTGCCCCTCGGGACCAAGGGGATGCTGCTGTCCAGCATTCCTTGGAATGGCTGGGAGAGGTGCAAGGCAGTGCGTGTCCCTGCAGGTTCCCTGTTGTGGAAGAACCGGACAGTGCTGCAGGGCGATGATGTGCTGCTGCCCTGTGACCAGCGCTCCAACCTGGCCCGAGCTGTGTGGCTGCTGAACGGCAGCGAAGTGCTGGGCACGGGGCAGGACCGGCTGCGCGTGGGGGTGGATGGGCTGCTGGTGACGGACACGCTGCCCCAGCACAGCGGCGAGTACCGCTGCTACGGGGAGGAGCAGGGTCTCCGGACACTGCTGGCTGCCTACAGCCTCACCGTGCTGCCCGAGCTGCCTCGCAGCCCTACAGCTGCCCCATCGCCTCATGCTGCCAGCCAGGCGACCAGCGACACAAAGGTGGCTTACATCTCCGCCATCGTCACCTTGGTGGTGCTCTGCACCGTGCTCAGCACCATCCTCCTGTACATGTCCTGCCTGGAGAAGCGCAAGGGCAAGTACGTGCTGGGGGAGCCGCGGCCAGCCAGCGTGGAGCTGCAGACCGTCTCGGCCAACTGCCTGCGCAAGGGCCACCGGGAGGAAGAGGAGGAAGAGCTCACCTACCCTGATGGCTGCCTGCGGATCATCCCTGGTGAGGCACCCACAGCCACCACCTCCCCAGTCAAGGAGCTGCCGGTTGCCGTGCCCCCACTGCCGCCCCCGCTGCCGACCGAGCTCACCAACGGTGTGGGGGCTCTGCCCAATGTCCTCCGCAAGATGAATGGCAACAGCTACATGCTGCTGCAGCAGCAGGAGGAGCCACTGGCCTCCCCACTCTACAGTGCATCCTTCACCGAGGAGCTCAGCAAAATTTTGGAGAAGCGAAAACACACGCAACTGGTGGAAAAGCTGGACGAGAGCTCCGTGTAGGGGCTGGGGAGGGGGGTCCTGCCAGTGGGACCCTCCTCCCCTCCAGCCCCTTTTCCCACCCTTTGCCAGCAGTGTTACAAGACTCAGGCAAAACTACCTCCTGGATGGCAGAGCTGGGCCGGGCCCGGGCTCAGCCACTCCTTTGGCTTTTCATTCACTTTTGAAACTCGCTGTACAGAAAAAAAGTATCTATTTAAATTTGGAGCTCTATTTATGTATAAAAACTCACTGACGGTGGCCACGAGCTGGAGACAGGAGCTGGCACCTGGCTGAAGGTGGACACCATGGGAGAGTTTTTGTCTGTTCATCCAGGCGTGAGAGACACTGTTGTGGGTGTGTGGACTTGGCCAGCCCTGCTGGGCATCTTTTGGCACACAGCAGCTGGATAGCTGCTGAGAGGTGGGTAAAGAGCAAGGAGGGGGGCTGAGGGCTGACATACTGTGCCTGTGCATCTAACAGGGCACAGGATCCCTACCCAATGTAGGGCTGGCAGAGTTTCCCCAGCTGCCGGCCCTGAGGCATGAGAGGGGCCCTGGACACATCTCACATTGTGAGGGGTGGTCTCAGTGGCTTCCAGCCCCTGCCCACTGTCCACATCTGCCCCCTCAGGGTATCCCCTCTGGGAGAGGATGGTTTGGCAAGGGACAAGAGATAGGGAGAGGAGCTGATGTCCTGAATACCCTGGAGCAGCTGGTGAAGGGGCATGTGCCCACTTCGAAGAGGCTACAGGTGAAATACAGGGCTGGGTGCCCTGGGGAAGTGGCACCCCCAGGGCCTCCAGCCCTGACAGGGCTCTGCTTCCTTTCCCTAGGGCAGTGGATGCAGCAGCAGAGAGCAAGATGTACTGGCAGTAGGACTGGCAGCCACCACCGTGCCCTACAGCGTGACAAGGGACCAGTGCACCATCCACATGCCTGTGATATCTGCAGTGCCCCTGTGACTCCAAGCACAAAGCGTATCTGCCCTCCTGTGCAGCGCTGCTGGTGAACTGGGGTTCAGGCACAGCCCTGTCACCCATGGGAAAATGCGTGGGCAGGGAAATATCCTCACACAGTGAGGAAGAAGAACCTTGGACAAGGGCCTGCCTCCCTCTGGAGCCTTCTCTCATGGCACTTTCCGGGAGAAGCCATGGTCCCTAAATCCTCTCAACTGTTTCTGCTTCTGCCACCTCCTGGGGGAACCTGAGAGATGGGGGTGACAAAAGCATCTCATGCTCCAGGGACAGTGTGATGACACTGGAGAAGCTGGGGAGGGACACGTCCTCCCCATGTTCCTTGCTCATACCTCCACAATCAGGACAAGGATTGGTTGCCAAGGGCTCAGCCCTGCAGGGGAAACAGGAGAGGGGTGAAAACTCCTGGGATCCCTCATGAGCTACAGCTCAGGCCTCCAACTCCAGGAGAGTGAGGCTTAGCAGGAAAAGGCAAGAGTTGCACACTCTGCCACCCTGCCCCAGCCCTTGTTTTTGCTGCAAGGGGGCGTGAGCCACCCCCAAGGACTACCCCAAGGACCACCCCCAACGCCCAAGGAGGGGCATCACTCTGTGTCTGGCACTCCTCATGCACAGCTCCCCCTTCCCCCCAGCAATAAAAATGGCTCTGTCTGGACATGGTGTAGCAGTGTCCTTCCAAAGGCAGGAGAAATTGATGCAGAGACGTGGGGTTGGAGGAGGCTTTACTGGGGCTGCAGGCGTGGGCCCTGGACGGTGAGGAAGGAGGGTTTGTTGGTGAGGGGGTGCCACTGGCCCTGGACACTGGGGTTGTCAGTGTGGAAGGGCTTGCGGATGCGGATGATGTCCAGGCCGGACTGGTTGGCCATCTTGGTGGCCAGCTGCACGATCTCCTCGCTCGTCTTGCTGGCAATGAGCTCCTCCCGCACGGTCCCGTTCACTGCAGCAGAGCGAGGGCGTCAGGCTGGGATCCCCCCTCTCTGCAGCCTCCGAGGGGCAGCTGCCCCGACACCGTCTGCACGGGGCAGAGGTAGCACAGAACCGGGACAGGGCAGGGAGACCCCCATCCCCTCCCCAAACCCCCCAGCACTCACAGTACTCGGCCCGCAGCACCGGGGCCGGGCCCGGGCCCGAGTGGGGGCTCACGTAGAGAACGACATCGGGGTGCTGCCGGGCGAAGTCCTGTGCCGCCTCCTCCACGAACTGCCTGGGGGCCAGAGAAGGGACGAATCGCCATAGCCGCTAGACCAGGGTTACCGTCCGCCCGTGCCGGGCCGCGGGAGGGGTCACAGCGCAGAATTAGGGGTGATGCCCCCGGTGCCGCCTTCCAGCTCCTGCCCCGTCTGGCGGGAGGCTGGGGGTCTCACCCCGCCGCTGCCGTGTGATCAGGGGCAGCAGCACTGTCCCTTCCCCACGCTGACAGGCCCACGGGAAGACCCGTCCTGCCAGTTAAAGGGTCCCCAGGCTCCCTCCGCCCCAGCCCCGGCAGTCGGGTGCTGCCGCCGGCGGTACCTGGCGCCGCGGGCGTCGGCCGCGGTGGGGCTGAAGAGGAGCTGCAGGCGCTGGAGCTGCCGAATGTAGCGGCCCACGCCGTTGTGCAGCACGGCGGTCAGGAACCGGCTGGGCGACCCGCGGCCCGTCATGGCTCGGCGCTCACCCGGAGCCGGAAGCGGCGGGAGGGGCGGGCCGGGCCGCCCCCGACCCCGCCGGGAAGTGACGCGCCGGGAGCGGGACGAGCAATGGCGGTGTCCGTGCGGACCCACGTGGGGGCTGCGGCCTGAGCGGCTCTGCGGGGCCGGGGCCGCGGGGCTGCCGCCCATGCGGAGCGGAGGCGGCGCGGGCGGGAGCCAGGGCGGCCAGGATGGCGCTGGTGCCCCTGCGGCCCGGCAGAGCCGCCAGCCGCCTCCTGCCGCTGCTGTGCGGGGGGGCCCGGAACAAGAGAGCCTCGCTGAGCCCCGGGCCGCCGGGCCGCCTCGGCCAGCGGCGCTACAAGAAGGACGTGCTGCCTTCCCCCGACGGGCCCGCGCCCTCCGTCTCCATCACCGAGATCCGGCAGTACCTGCGGGCGCAGGACATCCCCTTCCACGATGGCTACAGCTGCCTGCACACCCCCAGCCTCTTCACCGGTGACCGCGAGGACCAGCCGCTGTCCGCCAATGCCCCGTTCACGCTCTTCATTGACAAGACCACGGGCAGCTTCCTGTGCACAGCCACCCTGGCCGAGGGCACCTGGCAGGACTTCCAGGCTAACGTGGAAATGCGGCTCCGTGGCATTACCCCCATTCCCCCTGCCAGCTCGGAGGAGATGGAGGAGGAAATGCGACAGGCTCGCGAGGATGCCCGCTGCATCTGGGAACGGGCTCTGCCGCTCTGGGAGCTGCTGGATGAGAAGGAGACCAAGGAGACCAAGGCTTTGTTTGGTATCTCGCAGGTGACAAATGCCACCTTGAAACGCTTCGCTGTGCGTTATTTGAGGACTGCCAGATCTCTCGTTTTCCCCTGGTTCAGCCCTCAAGATGCGACCCTGAAGGGTCTGAAGCTCTTAAGAGTGGAGAAAAAGGGGGGCACGATAACTTACGTGGAAGAGACTTTACCCCGCTTCGATTCCTATCGCAATCTTTTTGGGCTGCCTCTGATTGGCCGCCGAGACACAGAGCTGGTCTTAACTGGGTGGGAGCTGGATGCCCTGGCCCTGCACCAAGCGGCAGGAGTGGCCAGCCTGGCCCTGCCACGGGGGGCCAGCAGCCTGTCTCCCACCCTTCTCCCCTACCTGGAGCAGTTCAAGCGCATCACGCTGTGGCTCGGCGAGGACTTGCGCTCCTGGGAAGCTGCCAAGCTGTTCGCTCGCAAGCTGAGCCTCAAGCGCTGCTCTCTGGTGCACCCTGGCAACCTGCAGCCCCGGCCCTTGGAGGCTCTGAACCAGGGCCTGAACGTCACCAAAATCCTACGTTCTGCCGTGCTTGCCAGCCACAAATCCATCATCTCCTTCCGGCAGCTGCGCGAGGAGGTGTTCGGGGAGCTGGTCAACACCGAGCAAGTGTCTGGCGTCAAGTGGGCACGTTTTCCCGAGCTCAACAAGCTCCTCAAAGGACACCGCAGAGGGGAACTCACCATCTTCACAGGTAACGGGCACGATGACCGGTGGACAGGGCGAGCAGAGGGGTCTTTGGTGGCTTCACCCTCCCTGGGGGTGGTGCTTCACGAGTCTTCCAGGTCTCTTTCTGCCCAAGGCTTTCGCTGAGCCTGTCTTGCGGGTATGTGAGAGGCTGGGGTGCATTCCTCAGATCGGTGGGATGCTGCATGCCAGTATGGTGAAGGGCTCCCTGCCTGGGGCAATGTAAGAAGTCCTGGGCTGTCCCTTACCCCTGTTCCCACCTGCCACCCTGAGCCCTCCTTGTGCTCACCCCACTGGTTGCCCAGCCCTTCACAGGGACCTGTGGGGACCCATAAGCTGTGGGAGGCCATGCCCAAGTACTCAGGTGTGTAGTGTGGCACGAGAAATTTGTTTATGGTGTGAGTGCTGCAGATGGGCTTCTCTTACCCCTCTCCCTAGTGCTTCCACCTCTGAACAACTCTCCAACATGGTCAGCATGGGTCAGATCATCTCTCCCAGCTAATTCTCCTGTTGTCCTTGTACCAGGCCCAACAGGCAGTGGGAAGACCACGTTTATCAGTGAGTATGCACTGGACCTGTGCATGCAGGGCGTGTGCACGCTGTGGGGCAGCTTTGAGATCAACAATGTCCGCCTGGCCAAAATCATGCTGACACAGTTTGCTGGCCGGCGCCTGGAGGACCAGCTAGAGCTGTACGATGAATGGGCTGATCGCTTCGAGGAGCTCCCGCTCTACTTCATGACCTTCCATGGCCAGCAGAACATCAAGTATGGTCCTGCACCTCCATTCCCAGTGGCATTTATCCCTCACGGCATGTGCTGCAGGGCCTTGGGGATCTGGGGCTCTTCCCCCGCAGTGAGTCATAGATTTGGGGCTGGCAGGAGGCACATTGGGACTGTTCAAGTGTATGGGGACTGTGTGGCACCACCTGTGTTCCTCCGGTCACAGGAACTCTCACAGCCTCTCTCTGGGGTGGGGGTGAAGGAGGGGACTTGACCCTGTGCTAGGTGGCTGCTCTGAAGCCAGCCTGTGCCCCTGGCAGGACATGTCCCGTCACACCCTGCTTACCTGCAGTGCTGTTGTTTGCTGAAGGAGGAGGACAGGCACCTCCAACTCCTTTTATTCATCAGGCATTGTGGCACCTGCATGCATCCCTATATGCCCTGAGGACCCCTGTGGGCTGGGGGCATTGCAGGGCAGTAGGCAAGGGACTGTGTGGGCAGCAGCTGGGTCCTTCTGATCCCAGCTACCTTTACTGGGGGGTTGGGGCTGCACCTGCCATACAGTGGGGGAGATGCAGAGGTGGGATGTGCCCAGGTCCAATCGGGACCCAGCTTGGTACCTTCCAGCTCTTTCTCTGCATCTCTCTGCCTGGCTCAGCCTTCCTGTCCCTACCTCCACTGATCGCTGGAGCTGATCCTGCTCTCCCCTGCTCAGGACAGTGATTGACACCATGCAGCACGCGGTCTACATGTACGACATCACCCACGTGGTCGTCGACAATCTCCAGTTCATGATGGGACACGAGCACCTCTCTGTGGACAGGTATCCCTTCTCCAGTCTGATCCTTCCTTCCTCTGCCACCCTCACTGCTGGAGCTCTCCCTGTCACGCCAGGGGCTGGGGACCCACACAGGGTGTCACCTTTACTTCTGTCTGGCCACCCTGTTTCATTAAAGGGTAACCAGTGCCCTAGGGAGGAAGAAGTGGGAAGGTGTGAGCAGGTTACCAACCATCCCTGCCATACCACATCCCTCTTCCCGTGTGTGCTTGTTTGCCTCACGTTTCTGGGTGGTTTCTGTGGTGGGGATCAGCACCTCACTGCCCCCTGCCACCGAGCAATGCCAGCCCCTGACCCCATTCTTGCTGCTGTGGCAGGCTCGCTGCCCAGGACTACATCATTGGTGCCTTCCGCAAGTTTGCCACAGACAACATGTGCCACATCACCCTGATCATCCATCCTCGCAAGGAGGATGATGAGAAGGAGCTTCAGACAGCCTCCATCTTCGGCTCTGCCAAGGTGAGCCGGGCCAGGATGGCACTTCCTGTCCCTTGGGCACGGTGTATCCCCAGGAAGGGGCTAGTATATGTTTGGGCAGTCATCCTCAGCTGCCATCAGCACCCTGGATCATCACTGGGAACCTAAAAATTGTGGGATGTCTCCCAGAGTCCTGATGCAGGCAGAGAGCAAACCCATTGTCAGCTAAAGCTCTGTTGGGGCTTTAGGTGCAGTTAATTAATACTCACTGACTGTGAGTGGAATGTAGTAGGAGATAATTAAAGAGGGAGGCAGGGATGGGGCAGGGATGGGCTCTCTGAGTACTCTGGTCTCTTCCGTGTTGCTGACCAACCCTGCAGAGGAGTTGGTCTCTGTGCACAACCCTCCTGTGATCCCGTTTCCCCAGGGCTGTGGTGCAGGATGTGCCTGGTGGGTCAGTGGATGTTCCAGGGGAACATGAGGGGTTGGTGTTGGGGAAATGCTGGAGTTGCTGTGGCCTGGGGTGCCCTGTAAAAGGGTTTAAAGGAGCTGGGCAGGCGTTTGTGAGCATCTCTGAGGCCTGTTGCTCTGGCAGCATTCTGAGCACCCTCCTGGAGATGTTTTCCTCTCCCCAGGCCAGCCAGGAGGCCGACAACGTCCTCATCCTGCAGGACCGTAAGCTGGTGACGGGGCCAGGGAAGCGCTACCTGCAGGTGTCCAAGAATCGCTTTGATGGGGATGTGGGTATCTTCCCACTGGAGTTCAGCAAGGCCTCACTCTCCTTCTCATCTTCCAAAAGCAAGGTCAGGCTGAAGAAGATGAAGGAGGAGAAGGAGATTTTAGCCAACAAAATCGTGGAGGGAGGCTCAGGAGCCTCCAAGAAGCCATGAGCCCAGCAGGTCTCTGCCTCAGTTCGTCTGGAGGAACAGAGACTAGTTCTGGCAGCCCAAGGCTGGAATATGCCAGCTCCTCTTCCCTGGGATCATGTACGATGCACCTCTGTGGCCCTTTCTCCTGCATGAACAAACCTCTTGAACACGAGGACAGTGTCTCTGAGATGGGGGACCACCATGAGAGGAGTGGTCTCATCCTAGGGAAGAGTGAAGGGGAAGGTGCTTTGACAAACACTGGCTGCTCCGTGTTGGTGCTGAGTGCTGGGAGCATGGGGGGAGTGGAGGCAGAGTAAGCTGGATGATGGTGGGGATGATCTGCTGTTTCGGGACTTGCATATCTCTGGACCTGGGGCAGGTTGTTAAATTCTGTCTAAAATGGAACTGAAATCCTGAACAGTCACTAAATGGGAGGCAATTATGTAGAGGGACACGTAGTAGAAACCCCCCCTGTCACAAATGGGGTCCTGCATGGGATGGAGCCAGCAAGGGAAAGATGGTGAAGGAAAGTGTGAGATTGTGGGTGGCTCATGCTTCAGGGTGGGAGCAGATGTTAATGGAACTCACCGGTTCTACCCGCATGGCTGGCACCTGACCTGGCCCCCTTTGCTAAGGGTCCCCCAAGCCCCTTTTTCTGGGTGGGCATCACCAGCAATAAAACCATGTGGGGAACAGTCCTTCCTTGCTCTGCTGGGTTTGGGGGGGCTGCTATCCCCCCTGCCTTCAGGGCTGCAGGCAGCAAATACTGTGACATGACTAGTCCTAGCCATGGTAGGGGGTGTCCATGGCTGGATTTTGGTCTAATTCCTTTGATTTTTTTCCTCTTTCTAGTTTTATTAAAGTATAAATACGAGTGCCTTTTCTGTCTCTGTGTCTGGAGTACCCTGGGTTTGGTGAGGTAACTCTGGCCAGGGAGAAGGTGACCCCCTGACGATGTCCCTGCTGCACTGAGCATCCTGCCCCAGCCCTGGCACACCAGATTATTACCAACCTCCGTGCTGGGAATAGTTTTAACCTGAGCCATAATGAGGGCCCAGAGCAAGCAGGTGGTACACACCCAGGCCCGGGTTTCCGGGGTGCATCAGCTCGCCTGGAGAGCACCCTTGGGTGCTGTCAGTGCAGGTGTGAGCACCCACAGGCAGGACGGGGGTGGAGGCAGAAGAGGGTCCTGGGGAAGCAGAGGTAAGGTGGTGGGGGAGTGGAGCTGGGTCAGGGTTCACATGGTGGTGTGGGTGGGGGATCTGGGTTTCCCCCCTCTATCCAAGGGTCACCTCTGTCTCACTGGCTTCCATTTGACCCAGTCTAGTTCAGGTGAGGTGCTGTCATGGGGCTCTAGAGTGGAAGTAAGGCAGTGGGATAGCCCAGGGCCCCATCTCCCACCTATCCCTCCATGGGCCCCAGAGGGGGTGAAGAAACTGAGCCTCTGGGGGGATCTTGGCTGATCCCAGACCCTGGGGGTCAGGTGGTTTCTTGAATTTATTTTACTCTTTTTTTCCCCCATTTTGGGTCTCCACGAAAGGAGGGTGACAATAGCTGTAACAACTCATGGGGAGGGGTGGTGTGCCGTCAAGAGGAGCTGAGGCCCCCAGGCCCCTTAGCAGAGTTCTGGGCTCGCCAAATGTTTGCGGAGGGGGCATAATCTGGAGGGGTTTTCACCCCAGAGGCTTGGGTATACTTTGGAGTTGCAGAGCCCTGAGACGGGGGGCTTGGCTGGGGGAGAGAAGGGGATGAGCTCCGGGGATCCCCCGGAACGGACGTGACTGGGAAAGCACCGGGTGAGGCTGCGGTGCCCCACGCACCCCCCACGCCCCAGCCCCTGCCCGGGGGGCGTGGCCCCGCGAGGGCGGAGCCGTGGGGGCGTGGCCGCTCGGGGGCGGGGCCTGCTCGGGGCGGGGCCGGGGCGCGGCGCGGCGCGGGAGGCGGCGGCGGGGCCGCGGTGAGTGCGGGGGCCGGGCCGGGGGCGCCCGGGGATCCCGCGGGGCCGGCGGGGCTCGGGGGCGCTCCGAGGAGTTGAGTGGCAGGGTGCTTCGGGGGGAGCTGCCGGTGCTTGGGATGTTGTGGGGCCGGGTCCCCCGGGACCGATTTGGGGGGGTCCGGGGGCTGCGGGGGCAACGGCGGCCCTGGAGCTCCGTGCCGTGCTTTGGGGATGTTTCGGGGGCACTTCTGGACGGTCCTTCGAATGCAGAGGCCCAGGGGCTCTGTAGGGTAGTTGAGGGGGTCGCGGGGAACTTTAGGGGTGCTTCAGGGACGAGCTATGGGGCAGTGCAGGCCTAGGCGCGCCGTGGGGCACTTTCGGGGTGTTTTGGAGCACTTTGGGGGTGGTTTAGGAGCACTTTAGGGGCGGTATGGTGCAGCAGAGGCCCAGAAGCGCCGTGAAGCATTTTAGGGGTGTCATGAGGAACTTTGGGGATGGTTTAGGGCAGTATGGGGGAGCTGTAGGGCAGTGGGGCCCACGAGCGCCGTGGGGCAGTTCAGGGTGCTGTGGGGTTGGGATGGGTGGAAGCACCGTGGGATATGCTTGGCGCTCTGGGGCTCCGTGGGGCAGCGGAAGGTGGGTGGGAGTGCTTTGGGCGGGCAACGGGGGCAGCATCATCGAGGGAACCTCAGGATTGCCGGGGGCCTGGAGGGGGGCACAGCCAGGCATGGATGGTGTCCGTCCCACACTTGCTGGGTACGTGGGGAGGGACGGGGGCTGACCCTGATCCCCCCTGCCCTGCGGTGGCCCTGAGATGCCGTCGAGGCACGGGGGTCCCCGGGGGCCCGAAATCCCCACAGCAGCTCAGGGTGGGGGTCTGGCTGAGCAGGGACCGAGTGTTCCCTTGCCATTGAGGGGTCGGAACGGTGGGATCCGGCAACGCTGTGCTGCGGCCGGAGTGGCTGGACGTGACGCCACCCCAGTTGGTGACTGGTTTTACTGGGTGGCTGGAGGCCGGGCTGGGCACTCCCTCCTTCCGCGGGCGGTGGTGGGACCCTCTCGGCAGGCCGAGGGGCTGGGGTGAGGGAGAAGATGGAGTCTGTTCCCATCGCCTGCCTGGCGGGGCCCCAGCAGTGACCGTGTCCCCTCCAGGCTGCGAAGGGACCCACTGTCCCCAGGGCTATCCGTCCTCTTGACCTGCACATCCTGGGGGAGTTTTGCTGGGGTGGGGTACCGTGCCTTGGCTGGCCGGGCTGGGGGACCATCAGATGTCCCTTTGGTATTCCTGATCCCTGATTCCCATTCCTCTGGCAGCAGCAGGTCCCCAGTGGCGGGCTCTTGTCCCCACCACACTTCCCAGCCCACCCTGGGTGCCAGGAGCAGCGCACCCGCCGCCGGGCGCCCCTGCCACCCTCAGTGCCACGCTGGCACCACCTGCCTTGGCCCTGCCGGCTAGGGGACTTGGGAGGGGAGGGGGCAGCGGGGAGCACGGGGGACCCTGCTGCCGTTCAGCGCCCTCACCCCCTCCTCTTCCTCCTCCCCGCTTCAGGGGCCGGCGGAGCCGTGTTCACGGTGCGGGGGCCCGAGAGGACCGGACGGATGGGCAGCGGCTGGCGAGGTGAGCGGAGCTCGCGGGGGGTCACCCACCTGCCCACCCAAGGGTATCCCGGGCGCGGTGTGAGGTCGCGGTGCCTGGGGACGGCACGTGCCGGTGGGGGTGACGGTGGCGGGGGGGTTGGCTCGCCGGCATCTCTCCCCTGCTCGCCCCTCCCCGGGCGCTGGCAGGCGGATTGATTTCAGGTGACAGCTCGGCGGGCGAGACCGTGCGGGCAGCGCCCCCCCCCCGCCCGCGCCCTGTGCCAGCCGCAGCCATGTGCGAGATGCGATGAGGCAGCAGGGGATGGATCCGGCCCGTCGGCCGGCTCCCGTCACGCGGGCGTATGGCGTGGGTTGGGGCAGGGGGAGTCACAGCAGAGACCGGCAGAGCCCCCCCAGCTGGAGGGGGTGGGAACAAGGCTCCGTGTGTTGGGGCTGGGAAAGAGCCTGGCGCCCACCTGGCAGCTTCCCCCTTGGTGGTCCTCTCCAGGGAACCCTGTGGCCCGCAGTGGATGGTTTGAGGTGGAAAGCAGGCTCTGTGGGGTCACTGCTGAGAAGTGGGGGCTGTGGGGAAGAGGGGGTGGCTGATCCTGGTGTGTGGGGCTGTCCGTCGCTCTCTGTGAGGCTGCACTTGTGGGTGCCCATGGGGCAGACAGGCGGGCAGGCTGCCTGTGAGCCAGCTCTCTGTAGGCCTCTCAGGATTCGCCTCCAGTCCTGGCACGCTTCCCGTGGCAGGGTCACACCAGGGCACGGCATGAGGCAGGACTGCATTGCCACTGCCCTACAGTGCCACCAGCACCCCACAGCCCCTGGCAGCCCCAGGCTACTCCATTGGGGTGCTGAGGCCAACTTGGTGGTTGCTAATACTACTCCCCCCAACTAATCCTGGTTTTGTTTTGGTTCATTTGCCATCTCCTTCTGCTCTAGGGCCAACCTTTGCCTATAATATTGTGGATGGTGACTGGGGACCTGGGGATGTCCCCATGCCCATCTGGGTGGGTGATGGGCCACTGTTGTCAGTGCCTATGGCTCTGATGTCCTGTCTCCCTTGCTTGCAGGCTGCCCACGCGCCCCTGCCCGCCGGGGCCCCCCCCGCCATGGCCATTGTGCAGACGCTGCCAGTGCCCCTTGAGGCCGTGTCTGAGGGGGCCACACAGCTGCGTGCCACCACTCGCTCACCCCCTGCCGCCATGGGCAGCGTGGGCAGCCTCCTGCCCGCCCGGCCTCGCCACGACTGCACAAGTGATGGGGACCCCTCCGCTGCCTCCTTCTGCAAGCAGGGGGGGCTACTCCGGGCCACGCCTGAGGAGCCCCGTGTGTCTGTGCCCGGTGTCAGCCACTCCTATGCCAATGGGGGCTTCTGTGGCGACTGGCTTGATGCCTCCTCCCCTGCCAGCCCCTGTAGTGACTCAGATGATCTCCGTGATGACCAAGCACCAAGTGATCACCTTCGGGGGCCGCCCCCCAAGCTTGTACCCGTCTCTGGCAAGCTGGAAGAGGTGGGGAGGGCAACAGCAGGGTGGGTGGGTGTGTGCTGCAGTCTTGACTTTACACCATGTGCCACACTGGGACTGTTGGCTCAGATGTGTGAAATGGGGTCATATAGCCACACTTCTGGTGTCCCCGGGGAAGTGGAAATCCCTGTGCTCTTAATGTCCCCTCCATAATGCCAAGGGTGTTTGGGGAGCTCACCTGTACACCCATGGAAAGGTGATGAAGTGGGTAGTGACTGGCTTCTGTCTTCTTTTGGGTGTGAAGACATCGGGGCTGGGGGCACCCACTGTAACATTCCTAGGCAGCCCTTCTTGGGGCTGGTGGGTCCTCCCCAACCCCTCACTCTCCCCTGTTTTCCTGGCAGAATGTGGAAAAGACCCTGATCCGCCCCATGGCCTTCAAGCCAGTGGTATCCAAGCTTCGGAATGCCCAGCCAGGCACGCGCCTGGGGCTCTCGGAGAGCCAGGTGAGCCTCACCCACTTGCTGGGTGTTGAGAAGCCTGGCTCTCTGAGCTGCCGTGCCAGCACCCTCTCGGACTCGGGGCGCAACTCCCTCTCCAGCCTGCCCACCTACAGCACGGGCTGCAGCCAGCACCCAGAGGTGGGTGCCCTGCCGACCACCCCCCACGGCCCCCTCGACCCTCCGGGGGGCTGCCGGCCCTCCAACTCGGACAGCGGGCGCTCATCCTCCAGCAAGAGCACAGGCTCGCTGAGTGGCCGGGGCCGGCCCTCCTCGGAGAGTGGCTCCTGTGGGCGCTCTCCGCTGCCTGGTGAGGAGGCCATGCTGGTGCGGGAGCTGGAGGACAAGCTGCGGGAGAGGGAGGCCGAGCTGCAGCTCCTGCGTGACAGCCTGGATGAAAACGAGGTGGCCATCTGCCAGGTATGTCCCTGGTGTCCGCGTGTCCTGTACCTGTCTCCCTCCCTGGAGACAGGTGTGGACATACCCTCTGGTTGGGAGTAGGAACCCACTTTGGGGATCCGATACAGACCCTTGCAGGGGGATACTTTCTCCTGTGGGTCTGGGTATGTGGGTTTTTCCCACCAGTTGGGTGGTCCTATGTAGTCCATGGAATCAGTTGTACAGAGTGGGGTGCCTTATTTTGGGATGCCCGTTTTTGAATGAGACTGAGACCTGTGGCTTCTCCTTACTTGTGATGGAGCTGGAGGAGTCCTATACGCTCTGGGGGTGCTAACATGGGGGGGCCCATCATGCAAAAGGATAGGGGAGCACAGGGAGGTGTGTACCACCACATTACACTCTTCCTAGACCCTTCCTTCATGTGGGGGAGGTGCTGCACCTTCCCTGTGATGCCCATCTTGGAGATAGCAGGTGAAGTGGGAGGGTGCCATGCTGCCCTCCCAGCACCTTTGCATCCCCTGGCCCAGGTGTTTGAGGAGAAGCAGCGTCGGTGTGAGCAGGAGCTGGAGGGGCTGCGGCAGCGCTGTGCAGCCCAGGCACGGCAGGCGGCCCATGCAGCACATCGGGGGCAGCAGGTCCTGCAGCTCCAGGTGCTGCAGCTGCAGCAGGAGAAGAAGCAGCTGCAGGAGGACTTGACCCAGCTGCTGCAGGAGCGTGAAGTGTTGGAACGTCGCTGTGCCTCCTTCCAGCGGGAGCGCACTGAGCTGGCACCCCGGCTGGAGGAGACCAAGTGGGAGGTGAGTCACTCAGCAGTGCCAGGCATATCAGTGGGTGCAGGCTGTGGCTGGGGGGTCCTGGCCGGCACCTGAACCCCATCATCACCACAGGTGTGCCAGAAGTCAGGGGAGATCTCTCTGCTGAAGCAGCAGCTGAAGGAAGCACAGGCGGAGCTGGCGCAGCGGGGCGCCGAGCTGCTGGGGCTGCGGGCTCAGCTGCGGGAGGCGCGGGCGCAGCTGCAGGCGGGTGAGCGGCGGGTACAGGGGCTGCAGGAGGCCGCCCGTCTCAAGGCGCTGGAGCTGGAGGTGTGTGCCAACGAACTGCAGCGCCGCAAGAGCGAGGCCGACCTCTTCCGTGCCAAAGCCGGCCGGCTCGAGCAGGAGGTGGTGGGGCTGCGGGAAGCTGCCCACGGTCGATGCCCACCAGGCACTGGTGAGGGGTGCCCCCCATCTGGTGAAGGATGCCTCCCAGCCAGCGAGGAGCTCCGGGGAAGCGTGGGCCTGCGGCGCCAGCTGGAGCGGCTGCGCGCGGAGGTGGCCCTGGAGCGGCGGCGTGGGCAGGAGCAGCGGGATGCCTTCGAGCAGGAACGTGGCACGTGGCAGGGCGAGAAGGAGCGGGTCATCCGCTACCAGAAGCAGCTGCAGTACAGCTACATCCAGATGTACCGGCGCAACCGGCGGCTCGAACAGCGGCTCCAGCATCTCCGGCTTCAGGGCGAGGACTCCCTGCTCGAGCCCTGTGACCCACCTGACCCGCCCTTTGAGGAGATAACAGCCACCGAGATCTGAGATGCTGCCTGCCCTTGCCCCATGCTTGAAGGGCTGAAGGGGCCTCCAGCCCCTGTGATTTTGGGAGCCGTGAGGCTGTGGGGGACCCCTGCTCTTGCTCTGCTCTGCAAACTGCTGCCACTGTGAAGAGGGGCAGGGGAGACCACAGGCGCTGCCCCCTCCCCAGCACTGAGGTCTTGGGGCAAGGGTGTATCAGTGCCCACAGTGAGGGGTGCCTGTGAGAAGTGGGGTCAGGTGGATGCTGAGTCCTGGCCTTGGGGCCGCCCGGAACTGGTTTCTGCTGATCCTCTTAGCTCCTGGGGATTAGCAATGCTGGCTTCAGCCAGGGTCACCTTGGGCAGGGGGAGGGCTGACTTGTCCCCTCCCTCTCATCCCTGCTGGCACTGTCACCCAGTCACTTGGTGTGTGCCCTGTCTCTGCCCCTGCCAGCATCCCTCATGCCCCTTTGTGTGTTTGTCAGGGAATTTGTTTCTGTGCCATTTTAAATAACTCTATTTTTATAGGACCTACCGAAACATATCACCCTCTCCCAGCTCACACCTCACCAGTCTATGCCCCCTCACCCCTGCCACAGGGCAGCTTGCCCTCAGTGCCTTTCCCATGCTCTTGCCCCCAGCATCCCTCTGTTTCCCCCCCAAAAAGCCCATGCCTCTGTGATGCCTGGCCTGCCAGGGGAGAGGGGTGTGGGGCTCCATGTGCCAGCTGGGGAGACCCTGGGGACACCCCTGGGGATGGGCAGAGGTGGGGAGGCCCTGCTGGGCACCCGGGGCTGGGGTCAAACCAAAGGAAAAGTCTGGCTGTGCCCAGCTGTGGCTTGGTCACCCCTGGCTCCAGGGGGGGATTTTTGTACTTTATTTCAGTCATGTCTCGTTCCCAGAGCCTGGCTCATCCGTGTACCACCCAGAAACGGCAATTAAAAACAAGCCCCTGGCTGTGGTTTTTTTCAGGACTCTGTCTGTGTGTCCAGAGCAGGGTCAGGGACCACTTGTCCTTCCCCTGTGTTGCCAGTGCTGCCCTCCCTTGGGTCCTGCAGTGGGCAGCTGCTCCATGCCCCTGGGGCGGATCTGGCTCTCACACCCTCTGGCTGCACTGAGACCAGCCACAGCTCAGTGCAGGAATGAGCCACCTGGCTCCTCTGGAGCACAGCATGGCTCCTTGAATAGGGGCTGCAGCATCACTCCGGTGGTGGTCCAGGCACCCGCACCACCAGCTCCATGGGCTCCTTGGCTTTGTTGCGGTAGGCCTGGCGGATGATGTCCACAGCCCTCTGGTGCGTGACGTTCTGCAGGCTCTCCCCATCCACCGACACCAGCTCCTGCCCGGCCTGGGTCCCAGAAGGAAAGGCCACAAGGTGAAGCACAGCTACCTTTGGGCTCCAAGGGGACTGCCAGCAACCCAGTGGCATCAGGGGATGGGAGTGTCTGGATGTCTGCCCAGCCCCTGGCATGTGCTAGGACCCCCATACCTTGAGGATGCCACTGAGGAAGGCAGCTCCACCAGGGAAGATCTTCTCAATCTTCACCACTGGCTGTGCCCTTGACTCAATACCTCCAGAGATGCTGATACCTGCAAGGGAGCCATGAGACCCTCACACCTGGGTAGACTGGGACTTCCATCCACTCCCCAGCATGGCATCACCTTTCCCTGGGGAGCTGCACCTCTGTCTTGCCCTATTTTGGTAGGTCCTACAGAATGAGGGACCAAGGCAGGGACAGCTCTTCCTCCCCATTTCTCATTGGAGGAATGCTCTGGGGTTTGCCCCGCGCCAGGGGGCTGCCACCCATCCCACTGACGCTGGTGCCAGAAGGGTCCTCACCCCACCCATGTGCCACCTACCTAGCGAGTGCTTCAGCTTGGAGAGGGTGACAGTGAGCAGATGATACTCTTCCTCCTCTTCTTCCTCCTTGCCAACATCTTTGGGGCCATTGGTGGCTGCCCCAGCCCTTGCCTCACCCCCTGGCCCCCCAAAGAGAGGGCCAAGAGGGGGCCGTGCCCGCTGGGGCTTCCCCAGCACTTCAGCTTCTCTGTTGGGTGCTGTCCTGGGGGGCTCCTTGCGCCAGGTGGCCTGGGGGCTGCGAGAGTGCCCATGCCCCTTGCCAGGGGGGGGCTCAGCCAGCAGCCAGTTGGGGGGCCGAGGGCCAAGGGTGGGCAGGGGCCGGCTGGCAGAGGCATAGGCATCCACTGGCACGTCAGGGAGTGGGGTGTAGGTGCGGGGGTGAGGCCGGCGGGGGCTGGGGGAGGCTCTCGGACGGGCTGGGCTCGCCTGCTGCTCCCCAGCTTCCTCCGGCTCTGGGGTCCCTGCTGGCTTCAGCAGGAATCCGCCCCGATAGTCTGCAATGAGAGGGGCTCAGGGATCTCCTCAGGGACCCACAGCCCTGCTCCCTGGGACCCCTGCCACATAGACCTCCCATGAGTACCTCAAAGCCCTAGGTCCTTTGCCACCTAGGGCCCCAGATCTTCCTCATTTAGGGACCCCTAGACACCCCAGTTCTCTGCAAGCACTCCATGTCCTCCTCCCCAAGATCCACAGATTGTGCTGCTCCCAGTCTTCCCAACACCCAAGGACACCAGATGCCTTCTTCTCTGGGAGCCCCTGCACTCAGGTATCCCAGGTCCCTTTCTCCTCCCCCAAACTCCCTCCACCCCATTCCCACTGGGCAGTTTGGTGTCCAGGCAGACTCTACAGGTGGCACTTACCAGGCACTGGTGTGATGAGGTGTCTCTTGGGGGGGACGTCATGGTGGGCTGGGCGGAGGGCAGGTGAGCGCACTGCAGTCAGGGAGAACCCCAGTCACCTCCTGAGCTGCACCCACCCTTGACCATTCCCTTCCCCCAGTCAAGGCCCCTGGGGGGCTGGGATCTACCTGAGCGGCTCTTTAGGGCATCAAAGGCTTCCAGCTCCAGGGGCATCACCATGCTGTCAAATCTGCCCAGGTCTGTAGGGGCCACCACACTCCTGCCAAGGCAAAAGGGTGGGGACGGGTTGTAGCAGCCTCTGGGGTGGAGTGTAATCAGGGCTGAGGAGCATGTGTGAGGCTCCACGTCAATCACACCAGGATGGGCAATACTGGGGTTCCCAGATATTTCCTAGCAGCACTCACCTCACGTCCCGCAGCAGCAGGACCTTCTCGGGCCGGTCCAGGATGGCCAGCAGTGGCCGCACCAAGTCCTCCACGCTGCCCTCATGCAGGTACTGCGGGCACAGGAGGGGGATCAGTGGACAGATGCCCCCTCACCCGCTCCTTGGTTTACCTCCCAGAGTTAAGCACAAGGTGCTGACCATGCCCCTGGGATGCAGGAGCTTTCCAGGGATGAGCCCAGGGTCAGTGCTGCCCAGTGCTGCCCTGCCTGCACCCTGCCTTTGGTGCGTACCCGGGTGCAGTGGCGGAGCACGGCCGTCACCTCATCGGGGCTGAGGAGACGTGCAGCAGTGTCCTGGATGTGTGGGAGCCGGGCCTCAGGGTCGCTGCCGTTGGGCTGCAGGGTGGCAATGCCCATGGGGCCCAGGATGCTGGCACGCCGGCTTTTCTCTGGGGAGGCACAACAAGGAGGGGTGGCCAGCGGGGCAAGGACTGCCCCAGCCAGCCCACTCCTCATTCCCCCTACCCCAGCAGCTCACTCCACACCAGAGTGGGACAGACACAAGCAGTGCAGGGCCAGGTGCATGCAGAGCCTGCCCCACATCCCCCCAGGCACACGGGCACCCCCGTTACCCCGCTTCAGGCTCCGGATGACAAACTTCTGCACAGCGCCTACTGCAAGGGAGATGGAGAGCGGTGAGTGCCCAGGGCAGACAGCAGCGTCAGCGCCCACTGTCAAAACTGCATGCTTGGGGAACCCCTCCCTACACCCCCTTCATGTCAGGGATGCCACAACAGGCCCACAGAAAGGGGAACAGTCCCAGGTCGAGTCCCTGTCTGCCCTGTCACCCAGGCTGATACCTCTGTCCCCATCAGAGCGCCCTGGGGACTTGGCGCGTGCCCGGCGATCAGAGCCAGGGGCCTCCTGGCTAGGGGGGGCCCAGCTCTGGCTGGTGGCACGGCCCCCCTTGAAAAAGAGGTTGACAAGGGTCTTGGAGCGGTGCAATCCTGGGGGAGCTCCCCGTGCCCCTTGTCCCTCTGGCTTCTCCTTCTTCCGCTTCTCCTCTGTGGACAGAGAGAAGGGGGTGTTAGCGTAGAGAGCTGAGGGGATGCCACCCCAAATCTTGTCTGGGGGCAGGGAACTTCGGGGGATTGGAGGGGCTACTGGGAGACACTGACCGGAAGAGTCCTTCTGTGGGGGGCAGTGGATCACCAGAAGCCATGGGACGGGGCTTTGGGCTGCCTGGCAAGTCCCAGGGACAGAGCTGGGGCTATGTGGGGCTATAGGATACCCAGGACTGGTAGCCAGGGGGCCATATGGGCTTTATGGTGCCAGGGTAGGGACCAAGTTGCTATAAGCCCAGGAGTGGAGGCCAGGTATCCATGTGTGTCAGGGACTAAAGGATGCTTGAGTGGGGGACAGGCTCTCCACATGGGGCAGGGCCTGAGCTGCGGGACTCCCAGGGCTGGGTTGCAGGGTTGGAAGGAGACTTCAGCCAGGGTTGAGTCCCACGTGTGGGGCTGTGCCCCAGTGCCTACCAGCGACAGTGAGGTCACTCTGGGAGCGTGTAATGGGCTGCCGTGGCCGGCTCAGTGCCAGCAGAAGCGCCGTCTTGGGTGAGTGTGTGAAGGTCCGGCGTGGGTGGGTGCCGGGGGTCTCGCGGCTGCCCTGGCCCCGGATGGCCGTGTCCCGCAGCAGCTCAGGGGGCCGCACTGTGCGCCGTGTCTCTGGCAGCCCCTCGGCGGCTGGCTCGGTCTGCATGGCCCGCTCGGCACGTTCCCGCACCCAGCCCCGCCGTGGCCCGTCCTCCGTGGAGATGGCCACATCCACAGTGCGGGCTGGGGGCACTGGGGCAGCTGCCCCCAGCCCATTCACTGCCCCTGGTGCTGGTCCTGAAGAGTAGGAGGAGATGGAGGAGCTGGTTTCTGATGTCTGAGCCAGCTGTTGCAGCTGCCCGTTGGTCACTGCAAAGGCACAGCAGGGACACACTGTGACACACTGTGGGCCACCTAGAGCTCCACTTTGCTCCCTCCCAAAGACAGCAGACGTGAAGAACCTGCAGGGCCATGGGGACCAGTGGGCTGCTGGCCATTGCATAGGGATCATCGTGTACTCTCCAAGAAAGCGGACACATAGGATGCTGTGGGATCACAGGGACCACAAGGCTGCTGGCCATGGCAGGGGGCACTTCATGCCTCCTCCAAGGATGGGGGACAGGTGGGACCTTGCAAGTATGCTAACAGTGGCACAGGGAGATTCCTGCTGCCTCCAAGGCCTTGGGAGCCCATGGCCTGCAGACCTTCTCCCTCCCTACAGTGGTCAGATATCACTCTCATAGTCCCAGCCCCACTGTGCCCCAGCCCAGTGCCCCTGCCAGTACCCGCGTGGCACTGTACTTACAGTGACTGAGCCAGCAGTACTCGGCCACCAACTCCTTGTAGGCAGGGAACCGGCCTGTCTCCTAGACACAGGGGTAGAGAACAAGGGGTTCAGTGAGTGCTGGCTGCCCCAGCAAACTCGATCTGGTGCCAACCATGAATAATGCATCCCCCCCACCACCCGCCTGAAACCCAACCAGGCAGCAGCTGCACCAGCCCCCGGCACCGGGCTGAGCAGGGGCAGTGCCAGTGAAGGGACATGACAACCACTGCCTCACTCGAGGGTCCATGGGGCAGGGTGTGGGTACCTTGATCGTGAGCATGATGTGAGTCTGCCCCTTGAGCACCTCCACTGCCTTGCTATGGCTTATGTCTTCAAACTTGACTCCATTGGCTGCAAGGACTTGGTCTCCCACTCGAATGCCGTTTTGCTCTGCCAGCCCACCGGGGTCCACCCTAGGGAAGCAGGGGGGGCAGGATAGGGTCAGGCCCTTGCTGGAGTCCTGCTCCTGCCCCACACCTCCACTTGGGTGGCCCTGTGGCTCTACACCCATGGTGGTAATGCCCAGTCTTCTGAGAGTGGGAGGGCTCAGCCAGAGAGGAGGGGCTGAGCCCCAGCATGGGCACGGCAGAGATGGGGCTGTCACAACCCCTTTATGCAGCCGTACTTGGAGACGTAGATGCCGAGGCCAAACTCTCTGCCGCCACGGATGTTGAAGCCCAGGCAGTAGTCATCGGAGGTGGTGTACAGGTGGACGATGCGCCGCAGCCCGTCCTCGGAGCCGCTCTCCGATGGTGTCGAGCCACTTTTCTCTACTACCAGGCGCCTGTTCACCACATCCACCCTGGAGCACGGGTATATGTAGGTGGTCTCAGGGATTTGGCTCTTGTCCTCCAGCCGGATGACCATTGGTGACACCCAACGCAGAAGAGTGATGGGGATATGGGGGACGTACAGGATGGGGCTTGCACCCGCTCTACCTGCTCCAGACCTTCCTATCCCACCTTGGTCTCTCCCTACCTTTGCCAGGGACTTCTGACACCACTCCACCCTGGGGGTCCCCCAGGGATCCTCCCTATTGCCCAGAATCCCCCACCAACCTCCCCCAGCATCCTCTCCACGGGGTTGGGTTTTGGGCTGCTGGCATGGGAGATGCCCTGCTCACCACGCCGTCTTCTCCTTGGAGAACTTGATTCCTGGCACACGACCCATTCGCCGGACCACCATGCGGAGGCGGTTGTTGCCGGTGAGGACCTTGACAGCGCTGCTCATCGTGATGTTCTCCAGGCTCACACTGTTCACCTCTGTGATCTTATCACCAACACACAGCCCAGCCTGCTCTACAAGGGACATACGGCTCATCTGGGCACCTGACTTGGTGCCATTGTTTCATATTCCCTCCCTCAATGTCTCCTCAACCTGATCTGAACCCCTTGAGAACAGAGGCAGGGGTGCCTGACAATTGCACTGAGTGGCTTGTCACCTTGCTGCAGCTTGGGCATGGAGCTCAGACTCATTGGCACAGGGCTGTCTACTCATGTGTCCTGTTCTTCACTTTGGGCAGCCTGCAAATCTCATGGCCAAAGGCAGCAGGGAGCATGGTGGCTTTCCACCATGAAGGGTGACATTGGCGCTGTGATCCCATGTCACTGGGAGCTCCTTGAGGGGGTGTTGCTGGCATGTGCCTATGTTCACTGGTGTCCCTCACTCTGACCCTCTTACCAGCAGTGCTCCCCTCCTCCACTTTGCTGACAAAGATGCCCAACCCATGCTCAGAGCCGCCACGGACACTGAAGCCCAGTTTGCCGTCCACGCTCTTCTCCACTGTGATGGCATTGATGACATCGCTCTCGTTGCTGCTGGCTGTGGGAACAGGGGAGCAGATAAGCCACACATGCGGCATGTGAGCGATGGCAAGGGGTGTCTCTCTTGCTGGGAACATCCCCAGTCCCAGGACAGCCCTCCCTGCCCTTAGACCCAGGAAATTCAGCCATTGGGGTCCTCTTGGCCATGGGGGTGGGAATCTGGGACACCCCACACACCTTCGATGGGAGCATTGATGAGGATGACACGGCCCATGGGGGAGGCAGCACGGCTGCTCCGGGTGGTCCCATTGAGCAGGCGGCTCTGCTTGCTGAGGAGGTAGCGGGGAGCCAGGCTGGCTTCACTGCTGGAGCTCAGTGACCGGCTGCCTGTCGTCATCCCTGACAGCACTGCGTCCCAGTCCTGGGCCATGGTGGTGCTGGGCACTCCGGTGTCCCGGCGTCTGGCTCAGGGCTGGCTGTGTCCTCACAGGGCCAGGGCTGCCCGTCAGCCAGCAGGGGACATGGCATAGTCCAGCAGCACATGCCCGGGCTTGGGCACCGCTCTTTCTTAGCAGCGCAATGCTGAGGGCAGCTGGCCTGGGTACTCGCTGCTTGCAAGACAGGTCCCAGGCACAGCAGCACAGCCTGGAGGGACAAGAAGCTCTGTGACCCCCTCTTAAGCCTGATCCCTGCCCATCCTATAGTGACCCAAGGATCAAACTATCACACAGCTTCTGGGTACTACCATGGGGGTGTGGGCACAGGCTGCCCTGTGCTGGGGTAAGGATGCTGGGGTGAAAAAGAGCTCTCCCTGGCAGCGTAAATCCGGAACAGGGGATGCAAAGGGGCTTTACCCGATAGCGTAAATCCGGAAAGGCTCCAGAGAGGGGACACAGGGACATCAGCTTTATGCTAGAGAGCAGGAACTGATCCCTCTGGCCATTCCCCATCCTGCCTGGAGCCCCTCTGAATTCCCAAGGCCATGCGGCTGGAGATGGGTGCACCAGTCCCCAAGGCAGTTCCCGAGGGGATTTTCCAGGCGTGGGTGAAACGCCACCACAGTGCCCCCCCACTTCATTCCCCGCTCGCCCCAGCCTGACCTCAATAAATAAGTGATAGCCCCGGCTCCGGGGACACGCCGGTATCCCCGCCGCTGCCAGCCCCCCACAGCGCCCACCCATTACCCCCCACCAGCAGCAGAACGCGGATACCACCTCCCCGAAGGGGCGCAGGGGACCCCCTACCGCCGTCCCTCCCTCCCTCCCCCCCGCCCCGTGCCCTCCTCACCTGTCCCCATGGTGCCACCTGCGAAAGAGACACCTGGCAGCAGCGCGGGGGGGAAGGCGAGGCCGGGGGGCAGCACCGCCTCCTGCCCCCCCGGCCGCGGGGATTGGCTTTCCCCGTGGGACCGGAGAGGCCATCGGGCGCGGGAGCTGTCAATCGAGAGCGGCCGGGGCTGGCCTTGCAGCCGGCGGGGGGGGGCAGTCCCGTAGGTATCCCCCGGGAGGGGGTCCGGGGGTGCGTCCCCCCTCGAGGCTGCGTGTGGCAAGGAATGTGGTGTCCCCCCTGACCTCCTCCCTTAGCGCAGAGCATCCCGGGGGCACACAGGGGAAACTGAGACACGGTCAGGGGAGGAGGGGTGTCGCGTCCCCCCGCTTCGCTCACTCCGGTGACGCGAGCCGGTATCCCCCCGTGTCCCCCATCACGGGGGGCATCGCCTCCAGCCCGGGCCAGCCGTGACCCCCCGGCGGGGCCTGGCGCCGCCAGCGCGAACCCGACACCGCGGCGGTTTCAGGTGATGCGCGGCGGCCGCGGGGACTGCGGGGGGGCCGCGGACGGGCGGCGGGGGCGGGGGCCGGCGCGGGGGGGGCGCCCCGACAACGCCGGGGTGAGGGGCTGGGGGGGCACGGCCGGGGTGGGGACGCGCACCCACATGCACACACACCCCATGCACCCACACGTCCACGGCATTCGTGCCCTCGCGCGCACTCACAGACACCCACGGAGCGCCGCACACGCGTGGACGTGGCCCCGGCACACGCACACACACGCACACACACACACGCGTGTTCCGCCGCGCACCGCCCTACGCCCGAGCCGGCGCCCACTCCCGCGGGGTCCCCGCGCGCTCCGCCGCAACCACCGCGACACGCGTGGGCGCCAACGCGGCGCGTGCGAGCGCGGCGCTACGGGCACGCGCGCGGCGCGGGCATCGAGACCCCCGACATCCCCCCCCCACCCCGGGGCCACGCGCGCGGCTGACACGGGGACGCGCGGAAACGCGCACGTGAACACCCACGTGCAAACACACGCGCACACGAGCACCCGAGCGAGCGGAAGCGCCGACGTGCGAGCACGCGCGCGCGGTCGCGGGCAGGCGCGTGCGCGGTCACGGGCACGCCCACACGACCGCGGGAGGGCCACGGGCTCCGCGTGTGGCTCGGCACGTACCGCTCCCCCCGCCGCCGGCCCCGGTCACGCGTGGTCCCCGCCGCCCCCCGCGCGCCGCCCTCCCCTCCCCGGCCCGGCCCGCCCCGCCCGGAGCGGGGCCGCCCACCCGTGACGAGCCCGCACGTCATCGCGCGCAGGGGCGGGAGTGGGGCGGTGGCGGCGACGGCGGCGCGGGCACGGCGGGCGCTGTCCCCGGAGCCGTGAGTGCGGGGGTGACCCGGGTCCCTGTGCAGGGGGGGTCACGCGTGGCGGGAGGAATATTCCGCGCGGGAAGGAAGGGAGTGGAGCCCCGCTTCTCACGGGGAAGGGCGGGTGTGGGAATAGAGCCGTGCCGGGTGTGTCGGTGCCTTGCCCGGGAGGGACATTCCTCCTTCCAGTGCCCTTCCCTCACTCCGCTCTCCCGCTGCTGGCAGCCGCTGTGGTCCCTAAATGGTGGGTCCCTGTCCCCTCCTCTGTGACCGGGGGTGCTCGGCTGGGTTGGGGGGAGGAGGAGTCCCTGACTTCTGGTGGCTGATGTGAGGTCGGGGGGTTCTCTTTGGCACGCTGCAAGGTGCAGTCCCATTGCAGGTCGCACACCCACCGGGTGGGCTCAGGAGTCGCTACTGAGCTCCTTTACAAAGGGGCTCCCTGTTCAATCCTTGTGCCCCCAGGCTGGGGGAGCACCAGAGCTGCTGCAGCAGGGATGTGGCAGGAGGGACACAGGCACCACATCCCATATAACCCTTTAATCCCCTGCCCTGCCAGAAGATGCCACCATCCTTGCCTGCCACCATCAACATCCAGGAGCCCCGCTGGGACCAGAGCACCTTTCAGGGCCGGGCCAAGCACTTCTTCATGGTGACCGACCCCCGAAACCTGCTGCTCTCAGGGGCTACACTGGAGGAAGCCCGACGGGTGGTGGAGGACTACAGGTACCCACTGGGAGGATGGACGTTCCCTCAGCACTGCTCCCAGGCAGGAGCCATTCCCAGGAATGGGAATAGCAGTGATGCTGGCCCCCTTGGCCAAAGACCCCAAAATTGCCTGCCTGGTCCTTAAGGCATCTCCCAGCTGCCACATTTGCTGTGGGGGACCAGTTAGGCCGTGTGTGCTGGCAGAGGGTCTTTTAACAGGTCTTACCCTTACCTGGCAGGGCAGGCACCGTACACCCTGGGCTGACAGAGGACCAGCTTTGGCGGGCAAAGTACATCTATGACTCGGCTTTCCACCCTGACACGGGCGAGAAGATGATCCTTGTGGGACGCATGTCTGCTCAGGTCCCCATGAACATGACCATCACCGGTTGCATGTTGACTTTCTACAGGTACCTGTCCCCTCCTCACCCCAGGACCAAGAGGATGCCTGGAGGATCCTCCTGGCTCTGGGGTGAGGAGGGGACACGTGTCCCATACCCCACTCGTACTTGTGCTGTGGGAGCATGGGTGGCATCCCCCATTGTCTCCAGCACCCACCGTCCTCTCTCTGGCAGGACCACACCAGCTGTGCTGTTCTGGCAGTGGGTCAACCAGTCCTTCAATGCCATTGTCAACTACACCAACCGCAGTGGGGATGCACCCATCACCCCCAGGTATGCATCTCTCTGACCAGGTCCTCGAGGTCCTGGGGGCCCACCACCCCAAAACACCAGGGGGTGCCTTGAATAGCAAGGAACTGTGAGATGGGACAATGGAGACCTGGTGAAGGCAGAGATGGACACCATTGGGGCTGTCAGGGTTAGTGGTAGAGCTGAGAGAGGAGCCCAGGTGTCCTGGTGCTCTTGAAGGGCATGCTGTTCCTTCCTTTGGAGGGGCACCTGGGATGGGGAGAGCCTGGCTTACTGGTGTCCCTTGCTCTTTCAGCCAGCTGGGAACAGCCTATGTGAGTGCAACCACAGGGGCAGTTGTCACAGCACTGGGGCTGAAATCCCTCACCAAGGTAAGGTGACCCTTGGCCATCGCAGCTGGGGGATGTGGACCCTCCCTATGGGATCTCCCTGAGCTCTGAGCTTTGCAGGGGGTTCACCTGGAGTGGGGGAGAAAATGAAGAAAAGGGGTTTGCCGAGGTTGCCCACACAAGGCAACTGCTCTCCCCAGTGATGGCTGTAGAGATGGCCTGTCCCTCCAGCCTTGCTCTGCATGTATCTTCAGGCTTCTTCCACCCCTCAGCCTCTGTCCAGGCAGGGGACCTGGGACCTCCCCAGATCCTTTGGTCTGTGCAGCTTTTACCAGCTAAGAGTTGCAGAGGAGGAGGGACTTTTTTACCCCCAGTGGGGCTGGGACACCCCAGAGTCTTGCAGGAAGACTGAGGCAGACCTGGGGACAGCCAGCTCTTCCCCCAAACCCTCTACATGACATTCTCCTACTTTTCCCCCCAGCACTTGCCAGCCATCATCGGCCGGTACGTGCCTTTTGCGGCTGTGGCAGCTGCCAACTGCATCAACATCCCGCTGATGAGGCAGAGGTGAGCCCTGGGGTGGGACAGACTTGCCTCAGGGTTCATAGGCACTGGTGAGGAATGCAGGGACTTCCTTGCTCTTCCTTACTGTGAGGGGTTGGCTTGAGGGTACAATCACCTGATTGGAACCTAGGGGGTTATTGGTGCTTGTACAGTCCTATTGAGGACTGCTGCCAAATAAATGTGGGTCCAGCTGAGACTCCCTATGATTTATTGTGCAGCTAGTGGATGGGGTACAGGAGGATGCCAACCTCCCTTGGAGACATGTCCCTGTCCTGTGTCCTGTTCCCCTCACCCTTGTGCCCCTCTGTTCCTGCAGAGAACTCAAGCTGGGGATCCCTGTCACGGATGAGAATGGGAACCGCCTGGGCGAATCCACAGCGGCAGCCCAGAAGGCCATTTTCCAGGTGGTGGTGTCCCGCATTGGCATGGCAGCGCCGGCCATGGGTGAGTGTCCCCTCCTCCACATGTGTTGGGAGATTGCAGCTGATCCCTGGCAGCCTGGGATGAGGTCCCACTGCTGGCAGGGATCACTGGGAGCTCATTTCCTTCCTCCCTGATTCAGCTATTCCGCCGGTGATCATGAACATGCTGGAGAAGAGAGCTTTCCTGAAGGTACCAGTGAGCCTGGGGTGGGTGGGTGGGTGTAGGGACACCCAAGCTTGGCACATTGTTGGCACCCCTCAAGGCTGGCACCCTATTGGGGAATAGACACCTTCCTACCCTGTCCACTGCACTGACACACATCTTCTCCCTGTCCCTGGCAGCGGTACCCGTACCTGAACGCTCCCCTGCAGGTCGGCCTGGTGGGACTCTGGTAAGTCCTCCTCCACCGATGGGCATTGCTGCCCTGGGCACAGACCAAGCCCAAGTGTGTCGGACGGTGCTGCTGGGAACCCTGCTTGGCACTGGGTGGGGAGAACTACCCGAGTTTCTTGGGGGATGCCAGAGCTTGGCCAGGCTAGTGGCACCCCAGGCAGATGGAATGGGATATGAGGTTCTGGGGCCAGGAGTTGTTTTGCTTTATCTTGGTATCTCTCAAGCCTGCGATGGGCTCCTGCTCAGCATTGGTGTTCCCCCACATCATCGGGGGACAGACTTTGCCTGCCGTACCTCAAGAGCCAAATGCAGGGTCTGGAGCTTGGAGAGGGCATCTCGTAGCCCTTTCCTGTCTGAACACCCAGCACGGCTCTGGGCTGCCTCATTGTTGCTCTGGGATCAGGCCATGGGTGGGCGTGGGTGATTTATGCAGCCCAGCTTCACCTTTTCACCTCTTTCCCTTGCAGTCTGGTGTTCGCCACCCCGTTGTGCTGTGCACTCTTCCCACAGAAAAGGTACAGAAAGGCACTTTGCCTGCACATGCGGCTTCTGTGTGGGATGGGGGTGCTGTCTGACTCCCGAGAGATTGTTTTGCTTCTTCAAGCAGTCGGGCTTAAACCTGTGCACAGACATCTCTCTGCACAGTCAGCAGTGCAGACCCAAGGGCCTCTGCTGGGCCATGCTGGGGACGTGCATCCCCATGGGTGCAGCAGGTAGATTCCAACCCGAGGCCATCAGTGGGTATACCCCCTCCATCCTCTGCATCTCTGTTTCCCTTACAGCTCAATGCCTGTGAGCAGCCTGGAGCCTGAAGTCCAAGATCAGATCCGAAAGAAAGATCCGTGGCTGGAGACCGTCTACTTCAACAAAGGGCTCTGAGCAGGGTCCTGGGGTGGCCAAGATGTGCCCCTGGGACGGCTGAGATGAGCTCCACGGAGCTGCCGGGCCAGTGCATTGCTGAGCTTCGCCCTTTGGATCCTCTTGGGGCTGCTGCTGCTTTCCCTTGGCCATTGTGTGTCCATAGGTCCCAGGTGCTCAGCCCTGCTTCCCGGTGTGCCTGCAGCCATGCAGCACCATACCTAACCCTGTCCCCGTGCCCGGCTCAGCCCTGCCCTGGGGACCGCCTGGCTGGCACCCTGGGGCACTCCTCCCCTCTGGGTGTGCCTGTAGCTCTGTGCAGTGCACAGGGAAATGCAGGCAGCAGCACCAGGGACCTTGTGAGCTGTGGTAGAGGAAAAAAAAAAAAAGTGGGATGAGGAAGAAAATGGTGCTCCCCAGCTTTAGGAGGCAGCAGAGAATCAGCAATTGAAAGTAGAATAGCTCTGCAGGCACCCTGCAGTGCCCAGTGGTTCAGCAGCTGATGCCTGGGGATGGCAGAGCAGCTTTTGGAGAGGAAAACTCCCCATTGCCAAAATAGCTGGGGGTGAGTGATCAATTGCACGTAGTGACTTGAGCTCAGAGTGGGGGACTCTCCCAGCCCAGGCGTGTGCTCCCATCTCACCTTCTGCTCTCCTCCGGGCTGCTTTGGGGATTTAATCTGGCTTTCTGCTGCTTCCATCCCCAGAGCAAATGGCACATTTTAATCCCAGTAGAGTCTTGGTTTTTATTCTCATTTTAATGCCATCTGTGTTCAGGGCTGGGCTTCCCCTGAGGGGTTACTCTACCCCCTCCTGGAGTGCTTGCTTTCAGGTGGACCTTCTCAATAGCTTTAAGTGCACTGTGGTTTCCTCTAGATATTTTTGATATACATATAATGTACCTATATATACCAAACAATAAAGGCAGATTGTTTATACAAAACCAACAGCAAAGGGAAGTGTGCTGCTGTCTTATTTGCATATGGTGGAAAGGGACTGCTTTGGGGTGAGGATGGAAGCAGGAGAGAGGGGCAGGCTAGCTTTTGGGGTGTCTCTGCACCCCCTGGGGCTGGGTTCTGCTCCCTGCTTTCCAGCTGACTGCCTTTGCAGCAGCCCTGGCTGGCCTGGCATGTGGTGAAGCTTATCCAGCTGTCAGAGGGCTTTTTTTAGTACAGTCGGCTTTGGAGCTTGCCACTGCGCAGAGAGCTTTGCTAAGCTGCTGCTCTGGATGCTGCTGGTTTGGAGAGGCCAGAGCGTCACCCTGGCTCTGCCCACACTCACACCCCCTCTTGCAGCCTGCTCACAGGACAATCCCGGGCCTGCTCCTGCGCCTTCCCTGCAGGACTATTTTTATCCCACTTTCTGTGCTATGGGAGAGCACACTGGAGGGCACATCGCAGGACCCTGACAAGCCTGCGGGCAGCAGCTGCCTGTCCCTCAGCTCTCTGTCCCACCAGGGCAGCCAGAAGCAGCCATGGATGTCCAGCCAGAGAGAGGAGGGATGGAGGCGACCGTGCTCTGCAGTGCCCCATGCTGAAGGACAGGAGCGAGACCACTGCAAAGGCCAAGATGGGCAGATACAGCCGGGATGAGATAAGGGCCAGACAGCCCAAAGCCACCCTGTGCCACAGCTTGCACAGCTGGCAGGGGCTGGCAGAGGCTAGGCTCGAGCTGCTGCCCTCAAGGGGCAGCCAGGAGAACACTTGCACCCATCACCCACCCGCCCAAGGTGGGGAAGTGAGTGGATTGGGACAGGCACAGGGATCTGTCCCCCTCCTTCTCCCGGCCACGGAATATTGCAAATATCTCCCCTGAGCCAGCCATTGGCGGCTTATAAATAATGCAGCCCCTCGCCGTGCAATAAGGGCTTGTCAGTAGCTATTCTGCTCTCATAAATTAAAGATGAAAAGGTACAAGGCTCTTGCCAGAAAAATGAAGACAAATTTTTAATAGCTTGCCAAGACACAGGGAGATGGAGCGCTCAGGAAAAATGAATTACGTTTTTATTATGTGTTTTATTGTGGTGTAATTGAACGGGATTATCTGAGAATACAATATATTTCCAGAGGAGTGTAAAGAAAACAAAAATAATGATGACACCTGCCTCCTCCCACATGCACCACCCAGCTTTGCAGGGACACCCTCCTTGTGTGTGCTGGCTGGGAGCTGGCCCTGAGCTGCTGGTGGCCACAAGAGGCAGAGATGGAAATAGGAGGGACACAGGACCAGAGACACAGATGCTTGGGGTGGCTTGGTCCAGCTGGAAGGGTCTGGCCGGGCTGAGCCTGGACTCACCCCAAGAGCCCCCCAAGAGCTGTGAGGCTGGGATACAGAGTGGTGTGATGTGGCAGTACTCAGCCACACAGAGCCACTGAGTGTCTTTCATCTGTCACCTGTTTTCATTCTATCCTGAGATCCCCCTTGGTCTGTCCCACACCTGCACAAGCTGATGCCACTAGGCAGGGCCATGAAAAACTCAATTCTGGAGCATTGCAGGTCTGGGGTGCTGCCCTGCAAATCAGCCACGGTGCCTGTTCTCTCCTGGAGTCGGCAGCAGAGCAGTGAGCCCACAGACTCTGCCACTTCACTGCGCTAGGGGGAACATGGCCCCGTGGATTCTCCTGACTGGGAGAGAGAAAACTCATTTGGCCAGTGAGTTCTGGGGGATTGACAAGCCCAAAAGGGACACTGCTGCCTCTGCAGGGGAGTCCAGGATGCAGCAGTGGATGCAGGGTGGCAGGGATGCTCTGCGCCTTCCCGAGCTGGCTCATCACAAAGGTCAAGGGCCAGTCCCAGAAAGACAGCAGCTGGATATCCCCAGAGGTGCTGGGGGTGCTGGCCGGCGCTGGGCTGGGGACATCGATTGGTCCCTGGCATTTTTAATGAGCTGCCCGACCACATGCTTTAACCTTGCCCATAATGAGGGCGAGCGGCAGCAATTCCTACCGCCTCAGCCGGCTCCCCCAGCCTTAATGAGCTAATCAATACTTGTTCTCAGCTTAATTTCCAGCTAATTGCTCTTTAATGACGCCTGGAAATGGGCAGCCTCTTGCAGGGGGGAGCGGGCAGGCTCCCCCTCCCCAGTTCCCGTCCCCAGTGGCAGGGGGTGCCGGGGTGCTGGCAGCATGTCACCTTCCCTGGCTGCGTCCCAGCCCTGCTGGCGCTTCTGGAGCCTGGGGAAAGGGAGGGTGGCAAAGGCGACAGCGGGTGCGGTGCCACTGAGCTGGCAGCACCCACCCCGTCTGGAGGAGCCATGCAGCCCGAGCACCAGGGCAGGCTGAACAGAGGATCCCACCACCACGGGGGATGTGCCCGAGCCCCTCAGGACATTGCATAGCCGTGAGGGGTCTCTGCCGATAGCGGGGCTTTTAGAGAGCAGGAAGGCAGGGGTGGTGGGGCTGAGGTGTCCAGCCATTACTCCAGGTTCCGCAGCCCCCACGGACAGGGTCAATGTCACCGCAAGGGGCCGGGGACGAGCGCAGCGGTGCCCTGGAGGTGGCAGCAGAGACTCCGCAGCCGCCTGCCCGCACCGCCAGCCGCACCCCCGGGCCGGGCCAGCCCCGCGGGGCTCCTGTTTGCTGCGGGGTCCGGGTGTGGCAGGAGCCGGGCGGCTCTTAGGGCCGTGGAACCTGGCACAGGAGTGTCAAATTTGGCACGATCGTGCCAGTGCGGGGACATCCCGGGAATGCAGCCCCCGCCGTCTTTTCGGTTCCTGCCCCCGGGTTATTAGACTTGAGCTTGGATGGGGCTGGTGGGAAACCCTTAGGGAGAAGCATGATTCCTGCAGGGATGGAGCTGAGCCGCGGCTCTTGCCGGGGAACCCGGGCGGACTGGGCACCGGGCTGTCCCTGCACACAGCTGCAACCGCTTCCCCAAGAATTTGCTGACGGGTTGGTTCTTCAGAGGAATTCGGTCTGTAAAAGCCTGGAGAAACCTGAGCCTGGCTGCTTCCTAGCGCGGGTCCGGCCTGGCACGCAGGAGGCGGAGGACCTGCCTGCTGCCCATGCCTTGTCCCCACAGTGGAACCTGGGAATGTGGCTGGGAACAGCTCAGCGTTGGTGTGGGCCGGCCAGAACCGTGCTGTTTCAGGCTGTGAGACAGCAGGAAACAGAGATTGTATTTGATGTGAAAGGAGAGAGATTTGGTTTATTATCAGAATGAGCCCCCCACAGCCCCAGGCAGTGTGCTGGCAACATTCTATCCCATGATCTCTGGTGACATTTGCTTCTGCTGTGACACAACCCACGTCCTCAACCCCACCAGCCCAGCCCCAGTGCTGCTCTCCAGCCCTGCTGGACATTACGTACATCCAGTCACTTGGCCTAGGACTTTTTTCCAGAGTGGATTTTTCCCATGGCCTCATCTTCCATAAACCCCAGATTGCTATGGGATGTCTGGGGGATCAGCCCAAAGCTTCAGGGAGGGGGTCAGTGGGCCAGGAGCAGTGTGATACCCCTGACTGGATGTGATGTGTTTCAGTCTGATGGCAGAGCTCTGGAGGGATGCCAAGGATGTGGGCCTGCCCGGAGTACCCATGGACTCCTGGCTTCTATGGGACCATCACAAGATGAGAAACAATGATGGGGAGCAACCCACCTCAGAAGAGAGGAGGAGGCTTTGGTGCTTTAGGCTCAGCCTTCAAAGCCCAGTTCCAGGAGCTTCACTGGGCTCATGAAAAGTGAGGAAAAGGGAGAGATAACTAGCCATCACTGGTAGGGAGCCAGGAATGCAATTTACCTAAGTGCCAGGCCATGCAGGGCGGTGATCACCCTTTCCCCCACAAAGTTGTCAAGCAACATAAGCCACAAACCCTGTTTGCAGCCATGGCTGTGTTGATTGACTTCAGGTGTGGTTGAGCAGAACTCCTTGTTAAGCACAGGTTACATCTTCTGCCCCTCATTCATAGCTGCTGTTGTTTACTAACACATTCAATGGTCTCATTAAGCAGGAGGTTTAATTAACTGCCATGTTTGAGCTCCATCTTGTTGAGCTGAGCTAAGCTGCCCTTGGCTTTCTGAGAATGGGTTGTGTTGCTCCACAACTGGAGTTGTTCCTGCTCAGATCTGTGTTTGGATTTCACTTTTGGCCAGGGGTTCTCCCCTGTTAGTGGCTGATGCTGCAGTGACACTCAGGTGAATTGAGCCACCCAGAGGCCATCATAATCCCATGAAGATATGTCACACCAAGCATTTGGGCCATGGCACATCATAGGAGAAGGAACCATGTGTGGGAAAGGACAGCAGCCATGTGACCTGCTCCCCCTTGCCGAGGGCAAGAGACACAAATAACCAGAATTACTGATGGTCCGTTCTCAGCAGTGCCTGGGATTTCAGTGCTGGCTCTGTTTCTGTGCTGGCCAGGAGCTTTGTGAGCGGGAGGTGGCATAATGGGCCAGGCTTGCTCCACTGCTTTGCCCCCTGTGTGGAGCAGGGGCAAGTGAGTGTGTGTTTGGTGCAGGAATGCCTGAACATGCAGGCAGTCCTTCACCCCAAAGTGGGAAGGGTGGTATGGCAGGGATAGCCCAGGAGGCTCAGCACTCCTGTCTGAGCCACCTGCAGTCTGTCTCCTCTCTGCTCAGGCTCTGACCCAGCTCTGAGGCTGCATATAGGAAAACCTCAGCCCTTCCTGACTTTTTCCCTGCTCCCAAAACAGCTGCAGCCCCAGCTGCTCAGCAACTCATGGACGCTGGACTTGAAAACATGTGGCATGTGGGGACCAAACTCAACAGGCTGGACAAGGGGAGCCAGGGAGGAAGGCAGCCCTGAGCCAAGGGGCTGGGGGCCACAGAGGGGGAGTGGGACGTGAGACTGAAGGCAGAACTGGCAGGAAACCCCTCTCTGCAGCAGGGGGCTGGAGGGGGGAGTTTGGCTGGCAGAGACAGATTTAAGGGGGCTGAAGCCTGCTGCATTTTCCATCGTTAGACACGGCTGGATTCACAACATGATCGAGCAAAAGCCCTGGAACCCGGAACAAATTTGCAGGAGGGTGTTGGAAAGCAGAATCAGATTTTTACAGCATGGTGAAGGAAACCAGATCCTTAGAGGGGTCCTGATTTGCTTGAGCTTCATGGGGGAATTCAATCCCACAAATTCCTTGCCTAGAGAGGAGGGGCTGTGTGATCCCCTCGGAGCAAGATGCAAATGCAAGTGCATGTTTGTGCTGCAAAGGCATGCTGGCTCCCCCACTCCTCAGAGCCCAGTTCCGGAGGGAAACTGAGGCAGGAGCAGCAAGGCAGGTTGCTGGGGAGGTCTGGAGCCCCAGCCCTGTGCTGGGGCACTGCTGTGACAGGGAGCAGCCCCACCATTGCTCCAATAGTTCCACTCCAGCCAAGGGAACGCCGTGGTTTATACCCCAATATCCCCTTCAGACGTGGCTCCTGGTGTGGGGCGAGTGCAGACATCCCTCGGGAGTTATCCCCCCATTTACTTACAGCAGCTGCTCAACTTTTCAGTCTATGTTTCCCAACAAATTACAGGTTGAGACATGCTTTGACCACTTCCTTAGCCATGCCCACCTCTCCCGTTCACTTGTCCCCAAGGACTGCTGCCAAGCTGGACGGCAAAGGAGGGGACCCCAGTCCCCCCCTGCCCCACGGACGGGGCGGAGCATTAACCCAGGTCCCGCACACGACTGGGGGTGATTCCAGAGGGGAGGCGCCGGTGCCAGGGAGCGGCAGAGCCCCGGGGCCAGCTTGCGGTGCGTGGCGGGACCCCGGCAGGGAAGGGGTGCCAGCCAGCCCGTGTCCCGGTCCAGGGACGGGCCACGGGCCCGGAGAGGGGCGGGGGGATTCACGTTTCGCTGACATCACGGCGGTGCTGGAGCGGCCCGGGGCCAGCAGCCCTGGGGGCCAGCAGCCCCGCCGCCACGGCCACTGCGCACCCGCGGCCCCCGGCACCGGCGCCTCCGGTAAGTGGCGGCTTATGGCGGGGAGGCTCCTGGGGGACCCCAAGGGACGTCGTGCCTCTTCCCAGCACTGTTCCAGCACCCCCAGCGCCTGCACCCCAGAAGTGAGGAACCAGAGACCAACTCTGCAATTCCCCCGTACCCTTTCTCTGGCCCCCCACATCCATCGGGGCATGGAGCCTTACTCGGCGCAGACTGGGGTAGGGTCGGGAGGGGGAAGGGCTCCGGCGCTGGGACCTTCTGCCCCTTTCCACTCCTGGGGTGCCTGGTGGTCTCTGGCAAACGGGTCAAATCTTCACGGTTTGTAATCCGGGGGATGCATATGTGTAACCCACTATCCGGGCCACCCCCACCCCAGCTCTGCGCTGTGTTAGCCCCGAGAGGGGGGATGTAGCTCGGGGGGGCTGCAGCTTGCCCTTGGGTGCTAGGGGACCTAGGCAGACAGGCTGTCCCCTCCCCAGCCCCCCTCGCTTATGCTGAGTCGCCCCGGAGCGGAGGACCGTAATTTCACCCCATCTCAGGGAAGGCAGCCAGGGTGCGACGGGGTCAGGGAGGGATATTCGCAAAGGGATTTGGTTCATTGTCTCCCTCTCTGGGGACAGGCTCTGAGATGCCATGTTTTTCCCCCCAGGAGAGATAGGAAACCCAGAGTAGTTCAGCTTCTTCTTACCCTGAGTAGGTTATGCAGCCTTGGGGTTTGAGGGCAGGGACCGTGCTGTGCTGGTACAGGCTGGCCACACTGGGTTGGCTGTCAGTCCAGGGGTTGCTCACCTGTGCACTGAGCTCCTCCGTGCTCAGCCTCAGTTGCCTGTGTGATGACTGAGGGGGTCACAAACCCTTCTAGGGAGAGGCCATTCTTTCCCCTGCTTGAGTAGGTGGTGCCTCAAAAGAGGGGTTACAGCACAGGGAGGGAAGGCCAGGCATGACTGGAAGCATCCTCCTGGCTTGACTCCAGCACAGAAAGAGGACCTTGTCTGCAGGATCAGCCACTCCATTGTGCTTGTATGGATAGTGAGGGAGGAAAAAAGGGTTCATGACTCTTGCAAAGCAATGGGGAAAGGGGCTTGAGAGCGATTTTCTGACAGGAGACCAGGAGCAGGATATGAACAAGCTGAACCACAATGTTGTAAAACAGCCTGTCCAGTGCCCTGCCAGCCCTGTGGCTTCCCAGTCTATGGGCAGAGGAGGCTGGACTTTGCTTGCTGGGCTGCCAAGGGAACAAGGATGAAACCCGATGGGCTGGGGTCACCAGCACTTTCTCTCCAGAAGGTGTTCTGTGTCTCAGGGCAGGAGCTGGTTGGGGAGCTCCAGGGTGCGAAGGCCGTGACTTCGGGGGGTGAGAGGGGCTGGGACCAACCCTTCCCTGCACATAATGCAGTGCTGCTGCTCTGCAAGCAAGCCAGCCAGGAGAAAAAGGATTGGGAGACACTTCCTACATCAGTAACACACTTTGTCCCTCCTCACAGGCCAGGATGGCTCCTCAGATCTAGACAGGGAGACCAGAGCAGTGCCAGAAATTGCCATCCAAGTGACAGTGGGATTGGGATAGAGGAGCTGCTGTGAGGATGTCTGAAGCCAAGCCCCTCAGCGTCTCTTGCCTTGTGCTTTCAGTGCTCTCCTTGCACTGGGCTTTGCTCCAGCTGGGCCAGGCTTTTCCCAGCACCTCTGACTACCTCCAGCGGGGCTGGCAACGGCTGCTGGAGGAAGGGGAGGGCTGCTCTGAGTGCCAGCCAGAGGAGTGCCCGATGCCACGCGGGTGCCTGGCTGGCACAGTGCGGGATGCCTGTGACTGTTGCTGGGAATGTGCCAACCTGGAGGGACAGATCTGTGACCTGGACAACACCAACCACTTCTACGGCAAGTGTGGGGAGCACCTGGAGTGCCGGCTGGATGCCGGGGACTTGCGTCACGGAGAGGTGCCCGAGCCCCAGTGTGCCTGCCTCTCCCACCTGGCCCTCTGCGGCTCTGATGGCAAAACCTACGCCCAGATCTGCAGGTTCCTGGAGGCTGCCCATGCCCACCCTGATGCCAACCTCACTGTGGCCCACGAAGGTCCCTGCGAGTCAGGTAGTGGCCCTGGCGCTGTGGGAAGAGACAAACAAGGGGGTCTGGCTTAACTGTTTCACCTGGAAGGAAAACCACAGGGACGGGACTGCACTGGGCGCTGCTCCATGCAGTGTCAGGCTCCCACTAGTCCCCTCACCCTGCTGCTCAGGGAGAGCCCCTTGCAGATCCAGTGCTTGGAGAAATCTGGGAGCAGCTTTGCCAAGAGGGTGTGGAGTTTATGGGAAGCAACAAATCCTGCTGGATCAGATTGGGAAGTTCCAGGGAGCTGTTAGCGAATTCTTGGCGGCAAGGCTGGGTTCACACTGGCCTGCTGCTCCCGAGAAATGTGTCTGCCTCCTGCAAATAGAAACCAGGGTTGGTTTGGCTCAGCTGTGTGATTTCCATCTCCCATTTAAAACTCAGGTAGGGGCTCAGAGGGGACAGTCTAACAGGAAAGCCATGCTCCATCCTGCCCAGTCCGGCACAGGTCACCCCGTGCTGTCACCGCAGTCTGAGGGGTGTCAAGGGTGACCTTATTTTCTGTAGAGCATCATGTTCTTGAGTGTTTTCCCGGGTATATTTGGAGGTGGAAACCTTCCCTTGAACTCTGGCTCATGCTATGGGCCAGGTCATGAAGCAGGTGAAGAAGCATGGGTAAGAAGCATGGTCCTCACTTTATCCCTCCAGGGAAGAGATGTGGGACCTCGAGCTGTTGGCTCCATCCAGGAGATGGGGACCTGCTGACTCCCTTCCTTGCTGGCATGAGCCCTGTGTCAGAGCAGAGGCCTCATTTGGCTGAGAGCTCAACTACCTCATCCATCCTCACCAGCCTCAGGCTGGATGAGTGCCCCCTGGCCTTCCTCCCACAGGAGGAGCATGCTCTGATCACTCAGGAAAGCTTTGCTTTGTAACATTGCTGTTATTGCACTCTTCCTGCTGCATGTGTCACTTGAGCATCATTGCACAGGCAGGGAAACTGAGGCCAGCAGGGATGGCAGCCCTCCATGGACTGGTTGGGGCAGATGGGGAGGGAGCTCCCAGTCCCAGCTGTGAGGGGGGACCATGTCCTTGGGAAGAGTGAGGGTCTGCCATGGGAGGGAGAGCAGACAGACATGGGAAGGGTCCCAGCATCTCTGTGTGAACCAAATGCTGCTGCTCCAGAGACCAGCCCAGGAGAGCCCACGGGACCTGCCAAGGGTGGGACCTCTTCTGAGCCCACCCTGCTCTCCTCTACCCCCCTCCCCAGAGCCTCAGATCACTTCTCCTCCCTATGACACATGGAACATCACTGGGCAGGATGTCATCTTCGGCTGCGAGGTCTTTGCCTACCCCATGGCATCCATTGAGTGGAGGAAGGATGGCACAGAGATGCTGCTGCCTGGAGATGACCCCCACATCTCTGTCCAGGTGAGCGGTGTGCCTAGGGCATTGAAGGTGACCCCAGGGTGACCCCAGTGCTTCTCAGAGCTCATGGACCACCAGGCTTGAGAGAGGCCAAGCCTGGCTGCCTGGGGACGAGAAGGGGTGACTGGAGGCTGTGTAACGTGAGGACAGGGCTGGTGTCTCAGTGGTAGGAGCCATCAGCATAACTCTCTTCTGTGATTTCTTCTACTAATTTTTGAATTTATTCTTAGGGTCCTGCAGCAGGGAATTTCCACACTTACCTGCCTTAAGTTTGCTCTGTGTGCTGGCTTCACTTGCAGTCCCTCTGGCAGGGCTGGAAAGAGGACCTCACGAGTGCCCTACAGCCTGGGTCCTCCTCTGGTCCTACCAGCACACTCAGGCACTTCCTGCCCTTTTTTCCCATCAGCAGGGCTTCCCTCCCAGAGCTGGCAGGCCTAGGGATCAACATCCTGCCTGCAGCCAGCCCCAAATATAGCACCCAGCTGGGTGTACCTAGCTATTAGTGGGTGTGGGCAGAGGCAAAGGGGCCATGCACCTCAGCCAGGCACCAATGGGAAAGAAACTGTGGTGGAATGGATGGAAGGAGCCAGAGGAGCAGGTGGAACCTGGCACTGCGGCCCCCTTCCATCTTTCTGTCCTTCAGGCCTCCCCATAGCTTGTCACAAGGTCCAGCTGAGGATCTTCACCCTGCCTGGTTGGAAGAAACTCTACTGTCCTCCACCCCTGGCCACTGCACCATAATAGCAGACTGCAAACACAGCTGCAGCCCAGCTGGGTCAGGAAAAGCTTATTTTTTTCCTGGGGATAAACAGAAAATAGCATGGTTGCTACCAGAGCAATCCTGGGACCCCAGTGCCTGCTGAAACAGGGGACTCGGGGCTTTGTGGCACAGACTGCCCATTGCTTCTGCCACAAGTACTGACAGAAATTCCCCCTTCTTGCAGTTCAGAGGTGGCCCCCAGAAATATGAAGTGTCAGGCTGGCTCCAGATCCAGGGTGTGCGGGTGACGGACGAGGGCACGTACCGCTGCTTCGCCAGGAACAGGGTCGGGGAGGTGGTGGCGTTGGCCAGCCTGACCGTCTTCACACCGGGTGAGCCATGTCCTTACCCTCATGGGGACACGGGAAGGGATGTTGGGCACAGTGCAGCAGTATGGCAGGAGCTGCTGGAGCATAGGGCTGTGCTGGGCATGCCCCAGAAAGCTGCTGTGTGTCGTTTGGCTTTGGTTCTGGTGGGGAAGGGGACAGGCACAGAAGGGTGGCAAGGTGACATTGTCCCCATGCTGCCATTTCAGACCAACTCAACCTGACAGACTTCTCCCTGCCGAAGCCCCGCATGACACCTGAGGACTACGGGGAGAGTGAGGAGGACTACTACTAGCCCAGAGATAGCAAGTCCGGCTGCAGAGATCACCTTGCCCACAGCGACCCTCCCTGGGGCTTGGGGACATCTCTGGAGCAAGCACCCTCCGGCCCAAAACTCCTTTTCTGAACAATCCTGGCACAGCAGCCTGTTTTTTGGGGTGGGGGATGGGGTGACACATCCTTTTGGGGCGCTGGGGGACAGGATCCTGGTTGGCAAGGGCTGGGGCCAGGGGCAGCTCTGCCTGGAGCAGGGTGGATCTGTCCTCTGGCACTGAGTGGAGACACAATGGCAGGTAGGACACTGAGGAGGCAGCTGTGCTGTGTGTGATGAGGACTTGGTGCTGGGGATGGAGACAGCCCCCTTTGGGAGAGTGAGGCCAGGCAGGGGCATTATGTCCTGCATGAATAATTTTTGGGATGCTGGAGCAGAGAGCTGGGACCTGACTGTGATAACCAGTGGGTCACTCTCCTGTCTGCTCTGTATCCCCCAAGCACAGAGACATCCCAGCTTCTCCCCAGAACCCGAGGAACCTGCTGCCAAAACACCCTTCTCTTCTGTTTTGTTTTTAACCAGAAAACTAGTGATTTGAGGAAACCAGGCACTTGTGGCTTTCAGTGCTGTCTTTTCTCCAGCTGAAGCACCCTTGTGGTCAGAAACACTTTGGCCTTTTTTTGACTGACTTCATGTTTTCCCTTCGGTGCCTTTGACTGACTTCATGCTTTCCTTTGTCATTTTTGTTGATGTTATTTAAAATATACATGTAGGCCAAAGCCAAGGCCAGCTGACTGTCCTGCATCCATAAGGATGATTATAGGGGTGAGGAAGGGTGCACTGCAGATGCTACTTTGTCCATTGTGGGGTGCATGAATTGAGGAGCCCTTCTACCTATCCCAGTGCTCACATCTGGTCCTGGTGTGGGTTCTGCCCTTCTCACCCCACCTGGGAATGGGGGTACCCAGCAGACAATCTCCTGGGCAGTGACGATGCATTGACTCCAATCACTGTACTCCCATGCGTTTGGATCCCATCCCACTGCTGACCATTCTCATCTTGGGGTCCCAAGTTCTGTGACACTGGGGTCTCCACTGGTGACCACAGCCCTGTCAAGTGTGGAGCAGCTCTGGGCCTAGCTGGTGAAGCAAAGGGATGCTCCAGTTTCCACTGGAAACATTAGATTAAAAAAAAATATCCCAACTACCTGCCAGAGCTGGTGATTTAGAGCAAACTTTGATGTGGGGGAATCACAGAAAGGAAGCTCAGAGCTGCACTGTGCTGCTCACTGCCCAGAGAAGGCCATCAGGACCCTTCCTATGCATGTTCTGGGGCTGAGCCCACATTCAAGGGGTGCTTTACCCCCTCAAAGCAGCATCATTTACAGGACTTCTGGTGCTCAAAACCTCCATGTGGACCAAACCACTCCCAGTTACTCAGTCCCTGCTCCAGGGAGGTCCAGAGCTGCGGCAAGGAGCCAGACCCTGTGAGGAAGAAATTGGCCAGACCCCAGGCAGGAGCAGGCAGGATGCAATAAGGCTGGCAGCTCAGGTCCCGTGCTACTCTCCTTCACATGATTTTTCTTTTCTTTTCTTCCTTTTTCTCTTGAGAGCTGGCTCAGATGACACAACTACGGCACTGAAACCTGAACAAGCAAATAAAAGGGATTTGTCTGGAATTGGCAGCAGAACAAAATTCCTGCAGACGGTGAGGCTGGGCCAGTCCTGGCCCTCTGCACCACAGCTTGATGAGGCACTGCTGCCCTGCCTGCTGGAGTGCCTGTCCTTTCTGGCAGAAAACCCCTTCTCAGGCAGAGAAATGCAAAAGCCATTGATGCCTCAGCTTCTCCTTCCATCTAACAGCATAATAGAATCCTCCTAGGCTGCTCCATCAGAGTTGGAGGGTGTTCAGGAGGGACCAGGGACAGAAGTGTGCCATTGGCTTTTATTTTGCTTTTTTTGGGTGTAAAACATGCTTTCAGAGAAGCTGGGCCCTTTTTATCCATCCTGATCCCTTTCCTGTTTTGCACACAAACGAGCTGGTGGAACTGGGCCACACTCGGGCTGAGGCTGCCACAGGGAAATCCGAGAGCGTCCCGGAGCTTCAGCAGTCAAGAGCTGCTTGCTGGGCTCCCTGCCGGTGCCTGGGGCTGGCCCTTGGCCAGGGCTGCCATGCCAACCCTCCTCAGGGCCAGGCTTGCCCTGCCTGTGTTGGCACAAATCCAGGTTGTGCCCGGTGTGGATGCAGCTTTGGTCTGGCTGGAGAGTGAGGGATGGGTCACACACTCCATCCCTGGCTCTCCGTGTGTTCTGCAGGACAATGCCCTGCCTGGGCAGCTGCATTTTGGTGTCAGTCCTTGCCCCACTCTGCTTCACACCCCGTGCCCTCATACCCTGTAGGGAGCTGGCAGGGGATGCTGGTGGTTCCTGCCTGGCAGGAAGAGCACTGGGGATGTGATGAGGGCGGAATTTGAGCAAAAGCTCTTGGCCAAAATTAACCAGACCAAGGGCCTGTGTATCCCAGACTCCTTGGATCCCACTGTGGGAGAGGGCTGTCTGACTGGCAGGCTCCCCTCAAGGTGAAGGGCAGCAGAGTGGCGCCAGGGACACAGAGAGGGCTGGTGTCTCCTCATCCCAGCTCCCAGTCCTACCATTTCCAGTCACTTAAAAATTAAAGAAGCCAATATTGCTGCACAGCTGGAATCGCTCACTGCCACACAGCTTAATTGAGGTTATTTGTTGGCTCTAAAAGCATTTGGTCACCTCTGCTGCTGGCTGCTCAGATGTTTCCTGCAGCCCCTGCCCCAAGGAGGGGGCACCCCAGGCTCTGCAGATGCTCTTTTTAGCTCCACGCCCCTAGAGGATCCCAGGGACCTGACCAAACCTGGTGTCCGTGTGGGATCAGAGGGTCTGCCCCAAGAGCATGCAGCACCAAATTCCTTTGCTGGTCGATCTTAGAGCAGCTGCTTTCTGGGAGCAGTTCCTGCCAGCCCAGCTGACTGCGCTCAGAGCACCTGATCAGGTGAGCTCAGAGGTCAAGGCTGATGTCAGGGATGGGGAGAACTGGACTGGGAAGTGTTGATGTGGCCACTGGCCCAGGCACAGCACCGAAGCCCCCTGGCCACCTGGATGAGCAGGGTGTGGACACCTCCCAAGGCACCAGAGGTCACTGCTAGCCTGGGTACAAAGAAAGGGCAGCTTGTCCTGCCAGGACCTGAAAGACCCTGGAGATGCATGCTCTGACCAGCTGCCAACCACAGGGTTCTGTGGTCTGCAGGGAAAACCCACCAAGTCTGGCAAGTAAATACACTCCTGTAACAAAAGCGTGCTGTCCCTGTCCTTCCCTGCTCTTTTGGGTGCTGGGACCTGTCTGGGTCCGGGCAGGAGGGACATGGAATCATAGAATGGTTTGGATTGGAAGGGACCTTAGAGGTCATTTAGTTCCAGCAGCTCTGCCATAGGCAGGGACACCTTCCACTAGACCAGGTTGCTCAGGACCCCACCCAGCCTGGTCTTGAACACTCCTGGGGCTGGGGAGTCCACAACTTCTCTGGGCAACCTATGCTGGTTCCTCACCACCCTCACAAAAAAAAAATAAATTCTTTCTGATATCTGATCTAAACTTACCCTCTTTCAGTTTAAAGCCACTCACCCTTTTTCTATCACTACCTGCCCTTGTCAAAAGTCCTTCTCCAGCTCTCTTATAGACCCTTTAGATTCTGGAAGGTGCTTTAAGGTGTTCCTGGAGCCTTCTTCAGCCTACTCTTCAGGCCCAACTCTCTCAGCCTGACTTGAGTCCTCTGAGCATCTTCATGGTCCTCCTCAGGACCTGCTCCAACAGGTCCACATTCTTCCTATGCTGGAAGTCCCAGAGCTGGGCACAGCACTCAGGTGTGGTCTCACAAAGGAGAGCAGAAGGACAGAATCACCTCCCTCAACCTGCTGGCCCTGCTTCTTTCGGAGCGTCCGCGCCCCCGTGGCAGAGCTCCGCTTGGGGCAGGGCAGCGATTAGCCGCTCAAACAGTGCCATCTCCTGGCAAAGCCACCGGCCTCGCCGGGCCCTGCCACTGCGCTGGGCAGCCTGAGAATGCACCCGGGGCCTCCGGCATCCCTGCAGCACCCTGACCCTCAAATCCATCCACGCCCTTTCCCTGCCCCTGGCAGAAGCTCTGCCTTGCTGGGAGGGGTGATCACAAGCGACACGAGTAAGAGCTGTCGTTCGGGATGATCGCCAGAGCCGGAACATCCTCTTGACACTGGAATTGGATGGCTGCTGCAGGCAGAGCTGGGATGAGGCAGAGCCTGGAGATGTTCAGCTGCAATCCTTGGATGTCTGCCCTGAGCTGGGGCTGCAAAAGGGTAAACACCCCTCGTGGCCACTCTGACAGTCCCCTCATGCCGTGGGTCTCTCCCGTGGGAGATCAGTGGCTTCTGGCAGAGGCTCATTGAGCCTGAAATGATCACTGCTCATGCCTGGATGGAAGCAGCACTGTAACCTCGCTCTACAAATGGGTAAACTGAGGCACAAAGCAACTATGCATGGAGAGCTCAAGCAGAGCCAGACAGACCTTCTGGGCAGAGTGACCAGCTACCCCCAGGATTTCTGTCCCCAGCCTGCCCCCACCCCTGTTGGGGGATGGCATTTTTCCCCCTGTCTTCTGCACGGCACCTCTTCACCCTGCTGTAGTGGCTCAGAGAGAAAATAAAATAGCAAGACGGCTTCCCTTCCTCCACCCAGCACTTATACTGCCTGATAAACAAAATGGAAATAAATCCTCCTGCGTTTGCAGCAAATAGGTCTCCATGGGGGGTTGCTTTCAATAATTCAAATGCTGTTGCAGAGCAGAGCCCACGCCAATGGGTTTTAATAAACACAGCCGTAATGTGACATGCAATTTATTATTAAGCTTAAAACAGGAAGCAAAGAGTTTAATAAAAGCACCAGGTTCCCCGTATCAGTCACAGCAAGTGGTGGCGTGCTAGCTGTGGGGGGAGGTTGGGCAAGCTGGCTGCAGGGACATGCAGAGCTGGGTTTGCTTTGCTGCGTGCCCCCCAATCCGGCACTGCAGGAGTGCTGGGCAGTGCATGGAGATGTGAGCCAGATCGAGGGAAATGGGGATTATTGCAA